ATATTTATGGTGGCTTCTGTTGATCTATTACATTTGGTTCTCTTCCATTTCAAGTTGCAAAACTGAATGACAAGAATTCCTTTTCGAAGCAGGAGTTTTATCCTGAAGCATCATTTTGCACACAAATATCAGCTGGAAAACACAGTGCTCATGCAGGTAGCGGTCAGAGGAGCGTTGCTGCAGGCAGCCGTGCTGCTGCAGTCTGACACACAGAGCAGGTGGCAGCTGGGAAAATCACCCAAGGAGGGAAAAACTGGGAGGCTAGCTCTGATCTGAACCACAGCATCAGACCTACCAGTGAAAAGCACTACATTGGAGTTTAAAGGCAAAGAAACAATAATTCTGCGGCATACAGGGCCATAACCAAGACTTCACCAATTTCCAGTAATTTCAATGGAGCTATCAGAGTTTGTTACCAATGTATTTCTACAAGCATCTTAGCAAAGAGGGAAAATGAGAGAACACTTTACCTCACGGCCCTTGATCTTGGCAGTCCGCCAATAAAAATTGGGTCCTTATCAGAGAAAAAGGTTCAGGTCTGAGGCAACTCCAGGAGATTCTCCTTGCTTGGTTTCTTTGTAATTAAGGTTGTACGCATCCATGACTGCCAAAATTCCTGCAAAGAAATGAGAGTAAAGATCAGGAGAAGGGCACTAATATACTGTCTTCCATTTTGGCAGTCTTCTTCCTAATAAAGGAAAATGTATTCATTGAGTCAAACTTGTGTAAACAGTCTTCTTTTCAGAATAAGTAATTTATTGTACTTTCAGCTGTTTTGTTAATCTGATCCACTCTTCTCCGCCAAAGTCAAATCCGTGGAAGTCTACAGTAAAATACACATACATAAAATATTACGCATATATTATTTGTAATGCATTACTTCCCAACGATAGGCCCCAAAATTCCATTGAAATCGGCACTGCGAAGATGAAGAACAGAAAACGTGATCCCTCATGTACAGACTTGGACAAAAATCTTTCACTGTTTAAAGAATATTGAGATGTTTCAGTCTGCTCCTCATAAGAACCACAGAAAAGATGTGCGAAAACAAGCTGCAGATTCACACTGCTGCCCTTCCATAATCAAGGTAACATAGAAGTGGCTGCTAAAGAAATTCCATATTGGAAGTGACCAAATTTGGTTGCAGTGACGTTCTGTGCGTATCTATTTCTATTTGTAAATGTGCAGACACCTGCTTTTTCAGCCTGGAGCCTACCTTGTTTCTTGTTCCGACTGAATGAAATTTTATACCATGTTCCGTTGTTGTAACGATTTTCTGTTGTAAGAGCAAGGGGTCCTGAACCTAGATCAACAGTCAGTCTCACTTTGCCATCCACAAGTTCAAGTGACAAGTAATCTCTCTGTAGGGAAGGAGGAAAAAAAAAAGACTGAATCACTAGAAGTGAAATCTTCCAAAAGGATGCATACTTGGCAGATGTGGTCTAAAGGTTCAGTAACTCTTCTACCTAGACTATTTGATAGGCACAGGACACTCATCTTTTCTACGTCCAGAAAAATTAAATTCCGTGTGCCTCACAAGGATGCCGTTTTGTTTTGTTTTGCTGTTTGTTTCTCCTACTGGAACGCACCATCAGGGTTGACTACTCAGCTGAGGAAGGTTTAAACAACACAAGTCACATTTACTTTGGGGGAGGGGGATGAAATTGAGAGGAATTAGATATGACTGTTAGCGTAATGATCAAACACTACAATGTTCTTTCTGCAAGAAGTGAAAAGCTTCCTCGCATCCATTCAGATCAACAGAAATAAAAGACATCCTGTATTATATTAGAAGTGCCCCTTCTCAGTGTAAAATTGCAGTCAGATATCATTGTGCAACATAGTCAGTGAGTACATAAAGAACCAAACGAATATTGCAGTAACTCTGAAACAATTCGTATCCAAACAAAGCTTTGTTCTCCTTCAGGGAAAGGAAACCACCAGTGAAGCAAGTGGTGAACTGCATGACAATGAAGGTCTGGAGATCGGTCTAGGTTATGCTGCTTTTGCAGGGAGTTTTATTTAATTTATTTCGGTTTACTGAATTCCCATTTCATGGCTTTAACTCAGTATGTCTATTCAGTATTATAATGCCATTCTGAAAGTTCAGTTCCAAAAGATTTTGTGCTCTACCAAGGTTCCTCCAATAGAACAAAACTAGTCTGTCGTACCTCTGTTTCTTGCTCTTGCCCTTAGTTGAACAGTCATTAATTTTAATTTTTTAATTGCTTCATTTTTTTCATTGCATTAATTTTAATTTTTTCACTGCTTAATTCTGGCCTCCGTATATGCAAATGTTTGCTCTAAGGTATTATGTCTAGGGTTTCCTTCTTAACTCTTCTGGCTAATGATGTCAATCACAGAAGATAATCTATATAAAGAACCTAGGTGTAAGCTAGGTTAGCTGGAAGATAACATAGGAGAAAGCAAAGAATCACCACATCATCCAAACACAGTTTTTGATAGCTTAACAATCTGATCTATTTTCTTACAGTGCCATTTGAAGCAAGATACAGCAGGAGCCCATTAGGTGAGAAGGTGCTGAAAAACAGTATTATTTGAGTCACTGTTGAGCGTAGTGCCTTCTCCACAATTGAGTATCCGCTGCCATCAAAATGGAATGAAGTGTCCTCATCCTGTGGGCTATGGAAGTGGAAAACAGAGCTAAAATGTTAACTGAAGATTTGTGGTTTTCTAGTCATTTTTATATAAAATCTAAGAAAAGTTAGATCAGTTGGTGCAGCCTGTAGGCAGTATAATTAGGAAATACGGAAAGAAATTTGAATCCTGACGTTCTGCATAACTAAAGGATTGCAGCCAAGGGCCAATTTCATTAGAGAATTTCACAATCCCTAATTTAGCCATAAGGAAGGATGTATACAAGATAAAAAATGTTCTTCCCTGATGTATGAAAGGAAAATAACAATTTCTTAACGGAAAATCTGATTGCTACAATATATACCCTCCTATTTAAAACATGCTAAGCATTTATCAAAATGCCTTGCATAATTGCACTTGTAATAAATGTTCTGTTAGCCCTTTTCCCTGCAATACAGTATGTCTAAAAGTTATCCCATACGATCATAGAGCACCCTCTGCTGTTTCTACATGAAACACTCTGCAAAAAGGAATACGGTCAAGCATATTTCTTTTCAATCCCTTAAATGTAAGAAAAGCGTACAATTGACAATCCCCTTTCAGAACGATTACAAGAATGATAGCAAGCTCAGGAGCTACAATTTCACTATGAACTTTTAGACTGCTTCTTATCCTAGGAGAGGATAAATCTTTCTGAAAATTACTGGAAAACAAACATTCCAAAACATATTTTTGACTGGCAGTCACTGCTATCAATGCGCAAAACAGACCACAACTACAGAAATCCACTTAAAAAGTAGGCAAACCATAAAAACAATTGTGAAATTAGATAATAAACTAATATTCTATACAATGAAATTATTTGATGCCACTGACCTGCTCAGATTAGCATGTTCAGAATTGTAAATTAATGATCGATGAAGCACTGCAATTTGTTTGAATGCACCACTATTTATAGCTAACAGATATATATGCTATACATGTACAAACAGCTTTACTCCAAATATATTAAAAAAAAAAAAGAGAGAGAGACAAAATACCTTCCAAAACATCCATTGCACTTGCCCTCTCTTTCCAAGTAGTTCCAAAGACCGATAGATTTGCCATTCAGCGATGCCTCTCCCATGCACCCTTTAAAATGGGTCACCTTAACAGCAGGCGACTTCTGTAAGGGCAGAAACATTTCATGAATACAAACAATGTTAAATTCTCTGAAAGTTATCCAGCCAAATTTTTGCTTGGCTGTTTTGCTTGAACTTTAACTTGGTTAGATATAAATCATAATTAAAAAAAAAACAATATGTTTTAGCATAACTGTTAATCAGTATCATATGAATCATAATGGACTAGTTTTGCAGAAAGTAAAATAACTATGTCCTTGACCTGTTTACATTCTTCATTGCATGAGTAACAACAGCAAACTAAAAGAAGCAGGTGCTGAGAAGGGAAAATAATTCATTGGGCAACTCCTGTGCATCATGCATGTGCACACATAGCCTCTCCTGGTTTTCATCTTATACAAAAATACCCACGGAAAAGTAACATCAGGAACCAGGGAATATCCTTTTAACATCTTTGTTTTATGTTCATCACGCCTGGCACTTCTTGACTGCATAACTGATTCATGCAATTATTTCAAGCCAAAGGTGTATCTCAAACTGAATAAAACCAACATTTTACAGTATGCTGATTTTAGAATTTAACCTTGATTTGCCCTCCAAGTCCTCCGATAAACATTAGTGTTGATTTGTTAACATCCAGTATGCTAGCTGTCCCAGGTGAGGTTCCAGATTTAGATGAAGGTTCCTGATTGGAGTTCATTTCCTGTATACTCAGGGTACCTGTTTTTCCAAACCTGCCAATTACAAATAATCATAAACAGTTTTAGAAGTCACCAGGCTTAATCAAAATATGCTATTGACTTCTTTTTTCAAGGATAAGAAACACCTCGTCACTGGAAAACTCAAAAGATGGTTCGTATGGTTTACACTAAGTTGATTCACTAAGTCATAGTACATTTGTATCAGCTGGCTGTTTTGTTTAAAACAACAACAATTAAACTCCTAGTATGCACTGAACTTGCTATTGGATGCCTCTTTGGACTTCCAACATCCACGCCATTCACACTTAAATTACCTGGTTGCATGTACCCTGTGCCATTTGTTGTTGTTAATTGGAAAATCAGGATATTCCACTCTTGCTGATCCAGAGCCCAAATCCCAAAGAAGAGCTACCTTACCACGTCGCATCTCCACTGCAAGAAAGTCCATCTGAAAAAACAGTAGTCCTTACTTTAATACACGATATTGAATATGTTATTTCTGTTCTGTATATTTAATTTTCATGTGTGACACTGAAAATGTCTTTCCAGATTCATTCCCCTACATCCCATGTTATTGGACTTTATTTTAGCAAATCAGGCCCAGTGAAAGAAAAACTTAGAGGGAAACCAACAAACTCAACCTGTATCTAGGTAGGTGAATACTTCCTTTATATAATCTATAAAAATATGTGAGAGGATGAGTATACACACACACACACGCATACACATATAAATGCACTTCCTCTCTGTGTGTGTGAGTACACGATGTGACTGTGAAAAAATACTGTCACACAGTACAGTGCCACCAGGAGCTAAAACAGCCATGCATTTATTAGGATTATAGAGGGAAGGAAGAGGAAGGCAATGTGACACTGTGCTGTCACGCTCTTTTTCAGGTGGGTGGACACACCACACTCGTGAGGGCCAAAAACGTATATATGGTCATTTATAACTTTTGGCTACCACCACCTTCAGTGAGTGTCCCCCAGAAAACTCACCTTTCCATTGCTACCCAGGTAGAAAAGAAGGTTATCTGGTTCAGAAGTTTTCACATTGAGGGTTAAGGTGTTGTAATTCGTAGATGAAATCTGAGGTTGGTAGGCACGAATGCAGTCTCTGTCTGCTGATACTGCAACTTTAATCTGGGGAGGGAGAAAGGGAGAAACGGAATCAAAACAGGTCTCCATGTGCATGGCACGTCTTTCTGGAATATGTGCTTAGCTTCTGACCAACCAATGCCAGCAATTCACTGACATACTTTCATGGGATCTAAGTATTGCTACTGAGGGTTGATCTTAAGCCTCCTAGGCATCACTCAAAAAAAGAGAAGAGAGCTTCACAAATAGAGGAGAAAGCAATACATCATTAATTCACTCATCCAATTACGAAATTTCAAGCAAGTAAGCAAAACAAACCATTCAAATACCTCACAATAACAACATCTTGGGACTGAAGCCCATATAATGAGCAAAAGCCACTATAACAACATCAGAAAAGATTTAGAAATTCAAAACATTTTAAAAAAGGAAATAATTTCTAGTCTATGTTCAGAGGAAAACAAAACAAAACAAAAAGAAGTCTGCAATATTTGTGTTTATTTCAAATTTTTAACACCACAGACCACTGATTACGTGATTATTCAAAAATTCATTTGGGAATACATTACGAGTTAAATTTATAGCTTAAGTAGAGAAATTCACATTACTGTTGTGATACCACTAACTCCTTTGAATTTTGTCTAGTATAAGATAGCACATCCACACAAGCTAAAACCAGCTGAACACCAAGGAACAAGGAATTTGATAGTGTTCCTTCCCACTGTAAAAACAGAAAGGCCTTAACTCCATCATATTATCTGAATACACTTGTAACAACTATATACATAAAGCATACACATATACTCATGCGTCCTCATCTGTAACAAGCAGAAGTTTACAATACAACAAAATGAACCTGCCAGTCTGGAAGAGGGGATTTTGCTAACGCTTTTTTTCCCCTCTGCCAGGAACCTCTGTGGTTTATGATCCTTCACTGTTCTGCAGTGGATTCATTAAGTTTCAGCAGACTGTGACAGAGAAGCAATAACCATATAATTAAGGAGATTTGCAGGAAGCACCAAAAACCTTTTTTTTTTAAACAAAACTTCCCTAAATCTTAGAATTATATACCCCTACTAAAGCCAGAGGCATACGAAAAGTTATTGAGTGCAAAGTCATTTTCATATTCCCCTCACAGTTTAATGAGGTCCATAATACAATTGATTCACTTTTGTTTTCTTTGAGTGGGGAGCAGAGAGCTTCCAAATGACAAGTATATTATTTGTTTCAAAACATTTTGGATGCACAGCAGCATCTTGCAAAGAATACATGGACTTTGTTGTACATTTATTGACAGAATCTATATTCTGTTAAAAAGTTTTTAATGATACTTGATGCTATTAGGGAGGCATCTCGCATCGATCTCTAAAGTAAGCTTAGAAATTAGCATCTTGTCCTAAAAAGAATGGCAGCTCCATCTACTCACCTGTCTTTCTCATCGAAAAATCTCTGTGATTGCTTTCTGACATATTGCATTCTATTATTTTTATAGGAAATAAAAGGCAACAGAAAATAAATTACTGCCTTGCTGCTTTGACAATTTGACAAACAAAAGCAGTAAGAAACTTGAAGATAAAACCATAAAACACACCAACAGTCCTGCTGGTATATGATTTTAGCATCTGTCAGTGCTCTTGGACTTCAGCAAGACAACGGAGCAACCAGGTACCTTGAAGATAACTTTTAGGCTCTTTGACTCAAAGAAGCTTTCTGCTACAAGTGAAAATGAAGCCAGTTAAGTTCAACAGAGGAACTGCAGAGATCATGGTACTTACAGATGCTGCCTGCTTGCGGGCCTGGCTGATGAGCTCTTTAATTTCAGAGAGATTTCTGCTCAGGTTCTCTTCTAGCATTTTCAGAGGTTTCAGCCTATCGAGTAAAAGGCTGGCTTGTGCTTCGACCTCTTTAACTTGTTTTTCAGCTGCGGATGCTGCCAAAACATTAGTGAAACATTGAGACAGACTGCAAGAAATGTACTGTCTATCTCTAGAGTGCCTAGCCAAGGTGGCCAGTTTCTGATAACGTTTTTTTTCAGCCGTTATAAACATCTGTAAGGAATATGCACATTTAAAGGCATTCTATGTGACTTCCACAGAGGTCTTCTAAAAAGCTATCTCATTTTTTTGAATTCGGAAAAAACTTTCAGTCATCAAATTCATATTTAACGCTTATTAAACTTGAATATTAGTACTGCTTCTGCAAGCAGTGACATTTCTACAGAGCAATGAAGCAGCAAACTTACCGGCTTTTGACGAATCAGTTATAAGTTCACTAGTTTTCCTCAACGTGTCATTAACTCGGGACAACGCAGAAGTAGTATTCAGCAGCTTTTGACTGAAATCCCCGTAGCGGCTTAAACCCACCACAGCGCTGGTGTTTGCAGACACAGCCAGCTCTTTCACCTCAAGCATGTACTTCCTTGTATCTGAATCACCGTGATAGTACACAGGTTAAAAAAAAAAAAATCACAGCTTTCACCAGTACCTAAGAGTAACCAACTCCTGGCCAGGTTCATAACACAGTTACAAACATACTGAAAACACTACCAGTGCTGCCAGTTACCTTCATTTTGTAATAAGAGTTATATTTTTGTCTCTTCGTCTACTTTTCTTTGAGAGGGGAGCAACAAGCTAAGCACCTGCTGTTATCTAGAGTAGCTTAGCTATTGAACGCCCCAGGGCTTAATAACTCCCACTTTATCTTCTGTGAAACCTTCTGCAACTTGATCAGTTATACAACTGGAACATAGCCACGGCTACGGCTCTGGACAAAAGAATGGGGAAATGCTCCCAAGTTAGGAGCTATATGCATATAGGTATGGATATAGCTACTGATGTCCACACAGGTATGTGTGTTCATATACACACACACACACACGCACACCCCCATAAGTAAATAATAAAAGAATATATTGCACATATATATAAATAATAGAAACTACAGTGATTTTCGTTAAGGCTGGTCAATTTAGATTGTCAAGTCTTTCAATCAAAAGACTTGATCAATCCAAATTCTTGAATTCTAGGAAAAATAAGATTTTTTTCTGCAATATGGCTTTTTTCTTGACCAGCTCTGAATATGACATAAGCACAGGTGAGGAACTTGACTCTATATCCCAACAAAGATATCATATAGATATATCTGGGTCACAGCTTTCAAAACCCTTGAATGAGTGTTGGCACCCAGACTCACAAATCTGAGTCTCATTTATTGAATCCTACAGAAACCTGGAGAGGCTGCAGGGCTATAACCCCCTTTGCTTCAGGCGACAATCACTTCCGCAGTGAGCATACCGCTCCTATCCTCAGCCCGCCCCTTACACCCCTGTGCCAAGGAAAAGTCAGCAGATTTGCCGCAGCTGGCAAAATAAGGTGCCTATTTAAGGTCTGCAGGGATTCTCCTTCAGCTCCAGTCCCCCGCGCAGAGGGAAATATCACTGTTAATCTCTGCCCAGCCCCAAAAAATAGAGCAAACTTCAAGAAATGTAACAGCAACACTAAAATCAAAGAGTGTCACTGAGGGAGAATTGTCCTATGACTTTAATGATGCCTTCATTTTCATTGAGTAGTTTGAAGTCTGATAGCATCCTGCTATTAATATCCAGTGTAACTTTATCACTAATATTACCTTTCAGTGCGAGCTCAGAGCATGAGTTGTAAAATTTTAAAGTTTTGGACTAGCATTTTAATCTGGACAACAACCACCCCTGCAGCAGGATCTTATGCATGTTCCTACACCTTAAAAAAATATTATTAAGGTCGGCAAACTATTTCAGAGCTTCTTATTTAAAACTTTGAATAAATTTACTGTACTAGCTTCCATGAACACCAGGGCTTGCTTTTATCCAAAATACTGACATTTTTAAAAAAGAGAATTATTTCGTTTTGGAAAAACCCAGACAGAACGTTGCAATTGGTTGAATGAAATCAGAATTTACAACAACAAAACTTTAGATATAGATGACAAGATTTACGGCACAGTATGGATGAGTTTGAAACAAGCTATCAAAAGAAAATAAAGAAGTTACTGTTTAATACAAAAATTTCCCTCCATGTGAGATTAAGTATGCCAGGACTTGATTCTCTTCTCATATCAGCATAATTCCATTCCTTTCAGAGCTTTTCCTGATTTACAGCAGTGTGAAATGGGAATTAGGCTACAGACCTTATATCATAAGCCAGTTATATTTTATGGGTTTACTAAATAAATGGAAAATATTCTTTGTAAGGCAGGAGGCTAAATGAGTCTCCCATCTAGTTTATTGCTAGGCCTCTCCCGTGAGACTACAAATAGGATTTTACTATGATTGTACCTACCATTCTGTAATAAGGAGGAGAATGTCAATATAGATTTCACTTACCATTAGGCAATGCTCTTAGTGTCAACAGGGAATCATTAAGCTGGTTGACAATTTTATTAGTACTTTCCCGAATCTTTTCTACCCTTTTGTTTAATCCATTCAATCCAGATAAAAGGCCTGTTGGAAGAAATAGCTGTGATTTTTTTATGCACAAACAAGTATTAGTACCATACTATCCACATAAACCTCATATTTAGAGATAATAAGCATTCATTTATTCAATCAGCTTTTTTGTTTTCTTAAACAGAAAGAGCCTTTTACAAACAGAATGCAAAATGAATGCAGTATGCAGAGATAAGCTCTTGTGGGCACTGTTCCATTCAAAGTTATCCTTTTTTGGCCAATTCTATCAGACTGAAACAGTAGAAACATAGTTAGTAAAAAGCTATAAATTAAAATGATTCCAAGATGGTAAAACCTTATAATTTCAACGATGTGCTTGACTTTTTGTGATATCCTACAGGAGTGGTGAGTGGTTTCCTCCTACTTATTTGTGAGCTGTTTGCAGAATCCTATCTCTAAAAAAAAGTGTGTAAAATAGAAGCAACGAAAGGGTATGTATTCTGTACATCTGAATTATATGAATTCATGCATATTTGTAAAGCTGCTAACATTGAAAAATCAGGTACATTTTACAGTTACAATTTGATCTCTGTGAAACATTCACTTTCTGTTCAGTTTTGTCAAAACCCCCCCCTTAGGGCTAGACTCCTAAATAAAGTCTATGTTCAAAATGCTTTTGAATTTCTATGGTGCAGACTCCAATACCTTGCTGACCTCTTCTGAGTAATACAAAACTAAAAGGATTTTATAATTTATAGATGGACCCTGAGCCAAAAGGCAGTTTTTACAAAGAGACAGAAAAAGTTCAGCTTGTCACATTCCACCTGTGTAGAAGGAGCAAGAAAAAGAAAACATTAGCTTTTAAATATATTATTCCACATACTTGCATAATCCATGATTTATAAGATCAAATTCACAGACTTCTTCCTGGGTAAATGGATTTCTTCAGGAATTCATTTTGTTCTTCATCTACTGCCCAACCACTAAAGACTTTATTCATTGGATTTGGAAAACCAGCCATTTAAAGAAAGCATTGCTTGTAGGTAAATGAGGTACAGCAAAGGACAATTTTAAAAATGTTTACAGAGGAAAATTATATTCTTACCAAAAAAGGTAGATCAATAAATGACTCCATAATACAGTGCTAATCCTAATTATATGCAAATACATGCATATCCATGTGCAAATGTTTACCTTACCTTATGCTCATTTCAAAAAACTCACCATAAAACAGGAAATAGAAGAAGAAATAGAAACAGAAATGTAAATTCTAAAAACTGACCATCACTTTTTTTCTTCAGATTTTTAGCTTCATTCAGAAATTTGGAGCTAAGCAGTAGAGCTTCTCTTCCAAGAAGACCGAAAGACTCCTCTGGCTGAAAGAACAAGTATCAGTTCCTACATATGAAGAAAGAACTTCAACTGAAAATATTTAAGTATCTTCAGATGCCTGCTTTAAGTTACTGAACATTCTCGTTCATCAGATTTTTATTCGCTGCCTTACTAAGAATGAACAAAGAAATTCAAATTGTAACAGTTTGTCCAGGAGTGTGACACTGAAACTCTTTGTGATTCAATATGCAAAAAGATGACTGAAACAAAAGCCAGGAAATTCTAGTTTGAACACTACTGCTGATTCAATGCCATCTTTTGAAATGTTATTAATTCTAGTTCCAATTTTAAGACAAAAATTCTCAAAATTGAGCATTTTCAAGTCAGATATTTGAAAATTCCAGCCTTTAAAGTTTTCTTTTAATCCATTTCTCCCTCTGGAAAACATAGAAAACTACCTTGGAAGAGCTGTTATTCATGTTTTCGAAGTTTTTAACAAAACAATGCTACAAATTACGTGACTGTTGTACAAGGTTAAAAAACAATGCTGACTACTTTGATCGCCATCACGTAAAAAAAATACATTATGTAGTTTCTTTCTCCAGGTGTAGCGTGCAAGACGCTTGTAAAACATAACCCATTCAATGGGCTGCTGGGATTCAAAATCATAAAAAATGGAAAGATGAAACAGAGAAATGGAATAATATTAAAGTAACAGGGTTAGAGTGGTAACTCATCAGGTCTTTGTAATCTACTCTTTTAAAAATAATCTGATAATCTGGTATGGCATAGGATTCACAGACTAGGCACAAAAATGCATTTGGTTATGAAACGTCCTCAATTAAGCAAAACAGTTGTGTTTGGGAATACCTAGACACGAACAGAAAAGGGACATGTGAAATAAGGAGACAATTGAATAATCCTAAAGATGGAAGACGGTGCAAGAGGCCTGGGAACCGAAGGAACGCGTGGGAGAAAACTGATAATGAACACACACAGAATCAAGTCCAGTCTAGCTAAGCATGTATCAGACGTGACAAAAGGAGGAAAAGTTTTGTGGCAGAGAGGAAAGCAAGGGGAACAGGGGGTGAAGTCAGGTACCTCAGGGTACTGGCTCAGGATACAGCACGTACCAGTCAGCAGCTCAGGCTGCCATAGATGCCTCAGTCAATAAGGCAGCTTTCAGCAAATGCAAAAAGAGTAAGAAAAAACATTCCACAATGAAAAAGGTAAAGGAGTTGGAGATATTAACATAGATACTCACTAAGTCCAAGGGGCCATTCACAACTCTAGAAGCATCATCTGCCAAAATCTCTGTTCTTTCAATCACACTTTTAATACTGGAGTGGGTGTAGACCGCAGCGGTTGCATTCAAAGTCACATTTCTTACTTTAGAGAGGCCACTGAAGCAGAGAATTAGCAAGTGATTTTCTTTTCATGAGAGTATTTATAATCAAGCAACAAGTTCCATGTCTTCAATTATAGGATGCGTTTCTAGAATAACATAAGGTGCTCAGAAAAAATAAGCATACTTTGCCTTAGGTTGCATAGGCTTTCAGTTCATTATTTTAGGCTGAAAATGTTAAATATTCTTTTTCTATTTTATCCTCTTTTGTTTATGATCTGTTTTTCAATTTATAAGGCCACTTAGCCACATGCAACACTTTAAATGAAGAATAAGCAAATCCCATAAAATAAACATAACAGAAAAGAAACAAGTTCCTAGCCGGAGCTCAAAAGCAGTGTAGAAAAATATAGAATTTAGGAGGAAATTATGAGCATCTGAAAGCTACTCATTATCAAATTTTGCTTTACTGAACTTGTCTGAATTGAAGTCAGCAGAGTTGCTCAAGTGCTATCCAACGCAGAATTTTCTGTTCTCAAGCTTAAAATATATGTAAATTTTCCACTCTAATATAATTTAATTTTTTACACATATGTGTACTGATTTTAAAAGACAAAACAGCAAGAATCCTGGAAGAAAACTGGGACAGAGAATTCTTTTTCACTGAGATAACAGGAATGGCTTTCCAAGTTGGAAGCTCTAAGGGTGCATTTGAGTGCATTCGGGACTGCAACTCACCCATTTCTGTAAGAAGCTTTGAAAGCAACAATAATGGAGGCATAGCTTCTTAATGATATTCAGAGATATATTGTCAAAGAAGTATTCATGCACAGACCACAAGCTTTTCAGGCCACACCATGATGTATTCATTGGGCATTCAGTAACTCATTAGTTACTCTGCAGGACATTCACATGAAATGTAAGACTCTAATCAACCCTCTCTGTGTCATGGAGTAGAAACACCATGCACTACAGTAAAAGTGAAAAGCAATTAAAATGAAATGGGGGAGAAAAATTGATCATGTTCCCTTAGTGGATTAAGCTATTACCTATTTAAATTAAATCTGACAGCACTAGTCTCTCCTGAGTTCATATTTCTTGAGTTTCTCACCTTCCTAGCGTATCGGCAAGCCTTTGGAACTGGGTGGCGTGGTCCTCGGCTCGGTACACCAGGTCCAGCACTCCTCGCATGGACATCTGCATGACCAGCTCGTCAACGTGGTGCCGCAGTTTGGTACTCCATAGGACCAGCTCGTCTTGGTGAGCCTCCAGGTTCTACACAACAAAACGGTTTCCTTTTTTTAAAAATAATAAAATTCACTTGATAACATCAAAGAGGCTGTTGAAACTCTGTAGGAACTTACAGATGTAGAGTTCTTTACATCTTTGGCAAGAGCAGCAGCAACGTTCACTAGGACTTTCCCTTCTTTAATGAGCAAGGTGGAGACTTCTTTACCTTCTTTTATATAGAGCTTTTTGTCCTATAGAATAAATCGTTTTACAGTACTCTGTAAAGTCAACTACTGCAGATGAACTCACACACTACCTAATCTTTTTTTGATTTCAAACAAGGTTCTCATTTTGTTTCCGCTTTTAAGATATCATATATATTAACATATTTAAAAGTCTAAAGTTTTATTTAAGTGTAAAAAGCACCTTTTAAAATAATTCTGTATTTGATATTCCTTACACAACAACACTGAATCTCCAGTCTTACATTTAAGTCTCCCAGGTTGCTAGAGATAAGAGGAAACAAGCGGTTGGTCTCATTGATGTCAGCAAGCGCCTCATTCATCAGGTCCTGGGCTTCTTGCAGTCTGCTGTTGTGCTTTGATAAGAAATGGCCTGCATCCTTTTCTAGCTCAGTAAGTTCCTGCTGGGGTTTAACATACTCTTTCTGAACCTGGAGCAACAACCTCTCTGCAGCTCTGACAAAGACAGGAAGCAGAAAAAAATGAATGGAGAAGGAGAGAGACTTAGTCATGCTTTCTTGAGGAGAAGTGGGGTTATCCAAAATTAATCTAAAGGTATATTCTTATAAAAGCCTGTAATCTTTTCCATACTAGCATGAATACACATACTATGCTATTTGTCTTTCCATGCAAAAAGAAAACAATTGTGTGGGGTGAGGGGAGTAGAGTTCAAAAATTTTGTATTTGTTGCTTAGAGGTGGAAAAGGGCTAGTATAGAGCACATTTGCTTGGACTTATTTGGGATATTGCCTGCATGAAAACCTCTGTGAAGCATCCCTCTGGCAACGCTCTATGTCTTAACTGCAGGGATTCATATTTTGAATGTAGAATCAAAACATCAGTTTAAGAGGTGACACTGGAAAGCAACAAGTAACCATAGCACAGACATGCAGATGTCTTGAAAGGTTTAGCTACCTAATAAAAATAAACGTTCCCATTAAAATGACCACTGAAATGAGTGAGCTCTGAAATCAGTAATAGGCATGTTCCAGGAAATATCAATCCCCTCAAAATTAGTCAGTTTTTAATTGCTTCAGCTACTCTGTTTGGGAATATTTGCACGTCCATTCAAACACTTTCCAGTACCGAAGAAACTGAACTAAAGGTGATCCTGAATGGCAAGTCCTTTGTTTCTCCTGTACATAAGCTGCAAAATGCTTATTACTCCTTATTAATGCAGTTCCTATAATGATACTTTTACATAAATATCTGTCCCTTTTAATCTGTTTTCAAATCACATATATCTTTAGTTGAAGCAAAAGAAACCTCATTTATATCTTGATTACAAACAGCAAAACACGTTCCATCTTTCTCGTTGAATAGCAGATCTGTATTTGCATGTTTTTCTTTAAACTAATAGTTCAGAGTCCTTCCACTTAGAAGCCATAAACTTATAAAAGGTACAAGAATGAAAACATTTTGCAAGAAAGTAATGGCTTTGATTTCAGTGTACAGTAGAAAGGTTATATTCCAAATGCCTTGTGATCTTTGTCCTATGTAGCAAATATGGTGAGACTTCAGTTACAAGTGTTGCTTAATGGTCTCTCATCACAAATTCAGTCCACTATGAGCCATGAGGTAACCACTGCTCCCTGAAAAATGGGCTGTCAAGCTGCTTATTTAAATGAGTTTTGAATTTGCAGCTGCATTGCATGATAAATCTCTCTCATAAATCTTATTAACTCTCTTCTTCAATTTGTCAAAGTACACTTATCAGAGAACTTTCAGAAATTTCAGCAGAGAGCCTACAATTGAAAAGGCTAATTTACAAATGCCTTGTATAACAGCTCAAGCTGATGTTGAAAGTCAGAACACTCTGTTACTGTGCAATGGGACATATTGAGACATTTTCATAAGTGCTAAAAAAGCTATTCAAAGTTCGCAATAAATATAAGAATAAATGGTACATTTCTAGTTGATTTTTATGTCCATTTAGGTCCTGTACAATTTAATACTCAGTAAAAGGACAGGCAGGGGACACTGATGAACAACATACTACCCAACAAACACTTTGTCCCTTCTGATACAAAGCACTTAGAAAGGAAAAGTCAGATTTTCAGAAGCACTCTGTTCTCATCTAAATCTGTATACTTTGAAGCCAACCTTAACATTCTTACAGGTTTTGGTGAGAACAGCGCTAGGGCAGTACTGACTATTTGTGAAGTTGCAGCAGAAATTTTACTGGCTATTGAAAGAGTCGATGTTTTACATTGCAAAGTCCAGCAACAAGTAGTAATAAACAAGGAAAACAAAAGCCATTTTAGAATACCCTTTAAAAAGTGAACAAATCAAGACAGAGGAGTATGAATCCCACCCAGTGGCTCAGAGGGCTGAAATAAATGCCCTGGTTTCATTTGCTAATCTATGTGACACATATACCAGTGACAATACATTGTCATGTCCTTCACCAGACCTGGTAAGTCTTCATCTCGCAACAGACCAACTTGAGCTCGACCATGCCTTCTAGCCAAAAGCAAAGGGAGATGTATTTTAGGGCCAGATCTGATTCAAACTGAAGTCAGTACGCCTTTCTATTTATTGCAATGCAACTTTGTAATGCGTCCAAATAAACAGATCCTTGACGATACTGAATATAGCCGTTCCATAAGGGATGTGCAAATGATATCCAAATAACGTAACTCCAGCTCCAGAGTTCATATAGCTCTGCCTGGGCTAGTTATCCATAACACAAGATATTTTAACGGCACGTTGCCTCCAGATAACCTCTCCAAGAAGCAGCTTTGCACAGTACAGACACAGGCTAAATAAAGACTCCAGTAGACTATGCTTACTTTAGCATGCTTGTAGCATTGTGGTGCTGTTGAACAAAATCTTTCCTGCGCATTGTATCCAGCATGGCAGAGATATCATCCTGCAGGCTCTGAGACGTAGCAATTGACAGCGGAAGATCCAGACCCAGTGTTTCATTTAGCGACAGAGCCACTTCAGCAAGTACTAAGTAGGAGAGCAAACAATTTGGTCATACCATTAATAGAAGAGTATGTGTGAACCCCTTGCACAAATTGCAACACTTTCCCTGTAAATAAATAGTTCTTGAAGAGCTGCAGTGGAAATACCCTTCTAAATTCTGTAATGAAGGGGAAATATCTTAAAAGCAGGATACCTTTGATGGTTGTATGCACTGAGTCAATAAATCCAGTCAGTTCTTGACTTTTATTCCTGGTTTCCTGAGTCACTGTGTTAAGTTGCCAAGCTTTTTTCAAAATTCTAGCCGACTAGAATAAAATCAGAGATAATCTTTGACAGTTTTCCTAAAACACCAGTAGGTTCATGATATTTCACTATGGTTTTTCCACTTATTTTTCAATGCTTAAAATGCCTTGTGTGAGTAAGCAATCAATGTTTTTTGATAAAGCAATATTAGTTGATTCATAAGTCTCTGATGTTTCGAGGTACTTGAGATGCCTGCAATTTAATTATTTTGAAAATTTCTTGCTCCGATATCAGTAAAAATTGTTATATCCATTAACTTCACAATCAATATGATCACAATTATCAAAGCTATTTCTTTAACAAAGTAAACACTAAATATTTTTAAACATAAATTAATGTAACTATCTTAAGAAAAACCACTATTCTGAATACATCACCTTTAGCAATGACAACACTGTTAATGAAAGCATCCACTTAAAATAAGCACACACAGTCAGCAAAACAGCTCTAACGGCTGAAGCATTATCCACAATTTTCTACCTACCATTTTTCTTATGTTAAAAGTGACTAAAGGATATAAATGTTGCTTATTTTTCTGCGCATTTTCAGTCGATTTATTTCCACTGAAGCCATTTTAAACACAGACTTTTTGGTAAGTATTCAGCAATGGCATAATGTTAAATAAGCTCCACAGGTTAGAATCAGTGAGAAGGTATCTCCTTTTCTTCAATTTTAGTTCTTAAATGATTACAGTACAAAGGTATTCTTCAGTAGAAAACATATAAGCCTCCTGCGTAGTATCACAAAACACTATAATCTATAAAATAATTCCACAGACCAGGTAAGCGCCCTCCCCTGAAAGCCTACAGAATGGACAGAATTATTTTATGGAACTCTACAGACTTAAAGTAATTTCCCAACAACTCTCTCACGTTTCTGTACAATGTTATGGAAATGCCCCCCAAATTTGTATTTACCACAAGGGTAAGAAAGAGAAGCAAGCACCTACCCCTTCATGCAGCTGATCAAGGCCTCCTGATAAACTCAACAGAGTTTCTTTTGATGTAGCTAATGAGTAAGTCGGATCTTCTCTAGGAACTATAGACCCCTGTAAGAAATAGCACACGAATTTAACGACTTTCTTTGTGTCTGGAAAATTTTTGGAGAAAATAATTATGCACACCTTTTACATTATTTATACGTTTAAAATGACTGCTTTGCAAGGCCCATGAGATGACATGAAGTGATTACATACATATAACTGATGTAATGAGGTATATGTTATTTCTTGACATAGGGAAGCAAATCTCTGGATCCAGCCATGTTGTACTTTCAGTGGAGTAATGACAGAGGGAAGTATTATGTAGTCCTGCTTTCCTGATTCTCAGCTTCACTAAGGTCTGAGCTGGCCAAATAATTTGCTCCACTTAAAGGCCCATCAGTTTAAATGTTTTCAGTACAGTCCCCCAGGAGCTACTCTTTTGGCAACTCATCTTGTCAAAACATATGTCACGATGGCCCTACAGTGCTCTGCCTTTCAACATCAAAACCCAGCGCACGGCACTCGAGTTCGCGACGTTGCTGCTCCAGTCATGATGGGGATCACAAGCAGCTGGCCCTGGGGAACCTCTAACGAGCGAGGGAGGCTGATAAGCCATATTTGGCCTCAAGGCCACCTCTAGGCTGCTCTGTATAGCAGTAAATAGGCCACTGTATGCAAGCGTATGACATTTGATACAGTCAAGGCCTGCAACAGAATACTACTCCTCTAGAGATGCAAAGAAATGCAAGGCGTCTCTTACAAAGAGGGTGCGGGTGAGTCTGGGGAAAGGTTACATTTAGATTCCAGATCTTTCAGAGCTAATCGTTTTAAATATAACAAGTATCATTTCGCCCAACTTTTTAAAGAAATAGCACAGGATTATTTTTCATCAGCCTTATCTCTAATGGGTCTTTCAGAGTCTTTTCCTTAGCAGGAGGAAAGAACAAGCAAGAGGGGCAGAAGCTGAAGCTCCTGGCCTTCTAGGATAAAGCACGGCAAGGTACTTTTAAGAACCCAGTGGGGGAAGCCGGAACAGGACAGCAAATATGGCAATGTATGTTAGGAGGAATAAAGCAGGAGGCTTCAACTAAACAAAAAACAAACAAACCAACAAAATACCACACACAGAATTACTGAGGGCCTCAGATTTTTGGACATTGTGCCAGAGCAGAAGGAACTTAACCATTAGCATGCAGAAGCAATGCAAAGTACATGGTTTGATTTGATGACTTTCTCATTTTTGAAGACCCCCACCTAATACATAGAAAAGAGGGAATATTTGAGTCCCTGAGCAACCAGCATGAGGCAAAGGTGCAGTACAGTGAAGTGGACAGCACTTCAGGTAAGATTTGTAATTCAGATAAATAAACCTGGGAGCTTTCTGGCTTCCAGTTACAGCTACTTTTGTACAGGCCAAAAGGGAAGGGAATCTTAAGAGTAGTCAGAAAGAGAGGAATACCTGCTTCCAGACAGAGAAAAAATAAGAGACTACTACCAAATTACTCTGAAGATTAAGTTAAGAACAACGTGGCCTCACATAACAGGACGGGCCACAACAGGACTACGTATAACTCTGACACGTAAATACTGTCATCATAGACCCAAGAGGTTTTGTACCATTTTTAGCACCACTTAAACATCTCACTTCCAAGGGAGTAACAGCTGGCTTTGATTTGATTTTAGCATGAAAAGGTATACTCTAAAGAAGAAACTTAAAATGTTGTAATTTTTACATAACAGTTGACTTTTTGTTTTATAATTAAAGTGATAAATAGTTGCTAGATATTGAGTATTTATAACCCTAGAAGATGATGTTCCTATACAAACACCAAACAATTACAGAAACCAAGTCAACCGTAGCCTTAAAATATGACATTATTTCAATATGTTTTACACATTTACTACACAAAGCAAAGTAAGCATAACTGAAGTGGTGTAACTAAAATGTCAGTATCGAAAACTAAAGGATAAGAGTATCTCTGCTGAAGCATAAATATGAAATTGAATGAAGTTAGCCTTCAGATGCTGTAATCATTAAAATCTTTAAGTACATTGATTAGAATTCAGTCTGCCTCACATTTTAAATAGAAGAAATTTTTCATTCCAATTCTTTAATTTGCATAATCCAGCCGCACAAGGCAGCTTGAATTATTCTGATTTTTGCTAGGACATGGTAAAATACAAGGCAGAGTAAAATTTTGCTTCTATTTTCAAGTTTCTCTTGCTTTAGTTATTGCTGAACAGACTCTTTTCAATAAATGTCCCTATTTTAGTGCTCACGAAGTAGGGAGGATTCTGTTTATTTCTGGCTTTGTGCAGAGAGCCCGGGAACTTAAACCTCAGCAACAATAAGTCACCTTAATAATAATATTCAGATGGGACCACAAAATGTGATACTTCAGGCTTTATTTATGGGGCGAGAGGAGGCTAGAAGAAAGGCTCAAACCACAGGCAGCCTGAAAGTCTCTGATTACTGAAGAATTCTCCCCCGCTTTTGTCCTCCGGGATGGAGGCCAGAGGAAGGCATCTGCCACTGCCACATAACCATAAGGAAAGCAAGGTGCCAAGGCGAAGCAGCCTGCTGGACCCTTTCCTCCTCGAGGGGATCAACCTCAAGACTGAGGCCTCAGGAGATGTCCCTTTGGCAAAAGGGCCAAAAGGGAAACAAGCTGGCCTGACATTTCTACTATTCCACTGCTGGATTATACGGATCCCTAATAGTGGCCCAGAACTACTGCAAGTAAGGGGCATAATCTTAAGTGAGCATAACTGTCTTTCCAGGGGTTGAAGTGAGAACATATCTCAGAATACCAAGGTGAAGCACATACACATAGTAGCATACAGTAATCACATTGCAGATTGAAAAAATATATTGACATATTCATTTAAATGAAAGTACAACAAATGAAAAGAAAGTAACAGAAGCAGCTAAAGGACATAAAATATATTCTTATATCACATGTAATCACATGTTCTCAGTCTGATGTCACTTATACACACACACACATTAAAGCCATGAACTTCAGGAGCACTTCTGCTAGATTGCTGGCGTATGAGCATCTACAAATTTTGTTTTAGAAGTGCAAATAAATATTTCTATTATCGGTATGTTTGTTTTACCTTCAGACGTTTCGTGGCATTCTCCAACTCTGACAATATCCCATAGGGCACATGGACAACACCAGTGAGGTTCACTGAAAGTATTGCTTTGTCGAGATTATCCAAATTGTTTAACAAAACACCTGTGCAGTTGTCATCACAAGCTAAAGAAATCATTTTAAGAAGAGCAAATAATGTTAGTTAAATTAATTAGTTTAATTAGTAAATTAAAAAGAAGCCACCAAATACTGAAATTTATTTTGATTTACAGAGAACGTACCCTCACCACTTGTGTTAAGACTTACTGAATATAACAAATTTGAATACATAATTTGCAGTATTGTGCCTCCACCCCCCCATATTTCAAAAGGGGACCTATTCCAAACATAGTCTCCTTAGTTTGGCACCCAGTCAAGCCTTATAAATCCTGCTGGCTATTAAGCTGTCGGCTATACGATAGGCTTATTAAGTCTATTTGGCTATACTGCTGTAAATCCAGGGTGACACTGCTGATGTTCACCCAAACAGAGTAGGAAGAGAGTAAAACTAGGTCCACAGTAGTGTAATTCCCTTTATTTCTTGGGCTCGTTTCACTCACATAAAGCAAAATCTGAGTCTAAATTCCCAATTCATTGTAAAAGCAGATTATTGTACTTGATTGGTCTTTCTATTACCCTGCCATACATACATGTTTAACTACTGGTGAAGTATGCCTTCATAACTGACATGACTCCTAAGGTGGCATTACAGCAATCTCAATGCTAACAGGTAAATAACATATGAACTTAACATTTTCAAATACATACAAGTATGTATGCTACTGACAGCGAATAAATAATTATTAAAATTATCTAATTCTTAAACTTCTCTGTAGCACTGCATAAGGCAATTTAAGGATTAACTGCTTGTCTGATGGTACTGCAGTTTCCTCTGCGCTCACAGAATCACAGACTGGCTGAGGTTGGAAGGGACCTCTGCAGATCGTCTAGTCCAACCCCTTGCCTTATAGAGATACCAGAGTTCTTAAAATTCCTTTCCTCGACAAACCATTCACAGGAAGAGTAAGGCCTGATGTTAGAAAACACACTTGAGGAATAGTCGCGTGCACATAAATGCCGCTGCAATAGACCAAAGCCCACTGGGAAAGAAAAGGACTTCCAAGCCACCTACAGACACACTCGTTTTCCACCAGAAGATGTCTCGGTTCACACTCCTCGCAGAGCCGCCCTGTCACACCTGGCTTACAGAGGCACTGGCCGCTGGCACGGTCACAGTTAACGTGAACAGAACCGCCTGGATTGCACTGACACGGCTGGCAGCTGCCGTGGGCGACCTGAGGGTCACCGTAATACCCCAGGGAGCACCTGCACGGGGAGGAACGGGACACAGGCTATCAGGGGATTATCCTTTAGCAAATCCTAAAATAATCAGATGTTACATTTATCTCTGAGAATCACTATTAGATTTGTAATTAATGGTTTCTTATCAGTAACTAACAAATCACTCAAAGTCTTTCAGTACTTATTTGTATGTTTACTTATGAGAACTGACTAATCTACTCCAAGTACATGCCTTATATTAATCAAAACCGTCCTTGGGGGTTGGGGATAAATGGAGTCAGCTTAAGCAACTCACCTTTCACAGTACTGTCCTTCATATCCTGGGAGACAAGCATCACAATGGTAATCGTGAACGTCTTTCAGGACACAAGTGGGACTAAAACTGAAGGAAGGATAAACAAACACTGGCTAGGACATACACGGAAAAGCATACACAGACAGAGAGCTGTTTCAGACCTATAGGTGCACACAGGACAGATTTTGTAAGCAACAGCATCCTCTGCTCTATCTGTTGCAGTGCTCTAGAATTTGTGCTTCGAATTTATTCGTTTCCTTAAAATTTGCTTTCTCAACGCTACTCAATCACTGTATAGCATGCTAAAGCAGCTTATGGCCTGCATTTTGAAAGATAAAACAGCTAAAAATGGATGCTGCGTCACTAAATTAAGAGACCTTTTACGAATCATTTAATACTGGTGACTTCTCCCACGTCCTACCCCCCAGAGCAGCTGAGTTAGTTGGCTTCTTGTTCATCAGCAAGGACACTGAGCCACCTGCTGCTGCAGCAAGACAATTTTTGTGATCATTACCACCTTGAGGATGTGCTTAATTTGAAGCCCACCCTGTCCATTTGGGCCATTTCCCAGCTCTGTTTAGCCCTCTATATGGCCACTGATAAGCACCTTAAGCATATCGGAGGTAATGGATTTTCTGTAACAACAGAATTCCCCACCAGAAATACTCCTCCAAATAAATCAGCACACAGATTTATATCCCTTGTCTCACCACCCTTTTATATATGAGAAAACTAGAGTAAAGAAAACTAGACCAATAGGCCTATAGTATTTATCTAGCTGAGACTTGTATGAAAACATTAGAGATTTCAGGCCCATGCTCTGATTCAAGTGTCCAAAAGCAAACAGCAAATACGCCTTTCAAAATTCAGGAGAAAAAATAACCTGCACAAAATTTTGATTTTTGAAATAGCTGGATTGCTCCTCTACCAAACAGGTGCAAAAATTTCAAGCAAAAGAGTACTTGTTCTACACCTATGATCATATGAAAAGTTTCTGCATTGACTGAAGAACAGCCTGAATCTTAGTAAAAACAGAAGTACCGTTTTCAGAATAAATAAAGGGAACCAAATTTAAAACTGAAATATGTCAGAAGAACTTACTCCATTACCTGTAAAATCTTCTATGTGACTGCTGATCAGATTTCAGAGAGTGATTTGACATGGGCCATCCATTAATCATTTTGCTTTTAAAACCTCACAAAGTTACCACTAACCAGGAACAACTCAGAATGCAAGTTTCATTTACTAAAATACATAGCTTTCAAACACCTAGAATTAAGGAGCTGTAACTATAACTATGTCTTGTTATCACCGGGGCACAAGGCATCCAGAATTATAATGCTAAAACGCACACTGGATTTAATAAGTTGTGGTTACCTAACAGGGTTGGCTCTGGGACAGGCACAGAGAGAGCAGTCGTTGACAGATCCAATTACTTTCCCATAGTAGCCTGGGGCACAAGCGCTGCAGTAATCACCAACTGTGTTATCTCTGCAGTCCTGATGCACAAAAAGGAATTCAGACAGTTTAAAACAACAACAAACAACAAGAGGAACTTTATCTTCTCTCCAATCAATAAAGGCATACGGTCTTCAATAAGCATCACTAAACGTCACCGCCCATTGGCCAGCATTGTCTGGGTGGAGGAACCTTTTATGCCAAAATCAGCAGAATGCTGGCATATTTTGTCTTATGTGAATGCCCTCTCAGGCATGCTGACCTAATTTCTGTTCTTAACTTCCACGAAGGTTTATACATTTCTGCTTCTATTAATCCAATTCAGGGCAGGAAATGACTGTACAAAGGAAAAAAAAAACTTCAACAACAAACCTCCCCTCCCCCAGAAAAGCAACTGATGAAAAATTAAACAGGATACCTGGACCAAAAACACAAAGTTAGTGTTACAGCAAAGGCATGTGGCAGCTATAAACCACAGACCGCTCACAGTTAAGAACCACAAAGTATATTTAATTGGTCAACAGCACAGATCAGTAAGAGGTGCTATTAATATTAAAACTCTAAATCAGCATTGTAAACATAATTTATTTTACTAGTCTCCTAAGAGAACATGAATCACTATTTTTTTTTTTTATGATTTATGTTCTTGGGAGCATATACATTTTAGAGGTTAGTTGAGGACAGTAAGCAGTAGCAATGTAATCTCCTATTGCACAGGACCAGAAAAGTCAGATGAAAATCATCTATTTTGCCGACATTACTTGGCTGGACGTCTTAAGCAGTAATCTTAATATGTGGGTGACTTGCCACCCCTGCAATGTGAAGTGGAGTGGAAGAAAGACTAGTTTCACCGGTGTGAAAGATTTATGTGTTTTGACCTCACAGTTCTCACTCATGAAGTTCAAACTTCAAAAGATGGTGTCAGATTCATCATTTAGGCTAAACCTAGCAGTGAAAGAATGGTCCACAAAAGCCTGAGAGGAAAAAAAAAACTGAATTCAAGAGAATTCAGCAAAAGTTAACTTTGAACTAACAGATTCATCACTGGAAAATCAAAGCAATCGAAAAACTGTAGGAAAGGACATCTGGTCACTGGCCAGTACCAGAAAACAGCTTTGATGTGCCTCATTCGGTTAGCTGAGAATTAGCTTTGCACAGGGCTGTCACTCCATGACAGAGGAGCAACATGTTGGTCAAATGTGCCTCCTCCTTGCAACCTTCAGGATAAAGTGAAAGAAGTACGAAGAAAGCAGCATGGCTGAGGAACATCCTAATACTGCTTCAGTCTCTGGGTGTTAAAAAAAGCCTCACTTACAGCAACGCTAAGGATATTTTCTTCCTGAGAGAAAAAGAATCTGACTTTGACCTAGTCTCTGCGGTGTGATGCGGCATACTGCTTCCTTCACTTCTCTTTTTTTGTGTGATTAAGCAGAGCTCAGCCAGACCAAGGGCGAGAACCTTAAAAGTCTCAAAAGAAAACAGATAAACTGAACTGATAAACAAAAGTTACTTTTAAAAGAAAATCAAAACCAAAATAACTAACAATTTTGAGGAGGTTATGTCCAAAACACTTGATAATTTCACTGACTGGATCCTAAGGGAAACACTACTCCTATAATCCATTTTTCAGGGGACAGGTCGGGTAGATTATGTTTTATCCAAATAGCACGGCCATATACTTCTCCCCAAAACTCCTTCCATAGGTTACTGCCATTGTATGCTCAGGCAAAACCAGCACAATAATGTATAAAATGCACATACCAAGCACTTTCCAGTTTCCGCATCACAGGTTTCACTGTGGTTGTTGCACTGACACGGCACGCAAGGTGCTTTCAGAGTGTGCTCCTTCACACCGAGTTCTGTATGTTTCCCCCTGTAGTATCCTGCAGCACAGCTCTATTTGTAAGGGGAGTAAAATTAAGAAAAAAAAAAATCACGGCTATCAACTTTTAAAACATTTCTAAAAGCCAGGTAACTTTTAAGTGACTTTATTAATCTCTTGGTATTAGACACAGAGAAAGGATTCAAGGACTCTGTACCTGACAGGAGAAGCCAGCATAACCAACAGGACATCTACATTGCTCTATAAGATGAGCTCTAGCTCTGCCTAGATGCTTTTCTTCAAACTGCACTGCCATTTCCATTGAGATGTTTGCAATTCTGCAAGATACACAAGGATGAGAGGAGAGCATAAACGTCTAGAGCAATCCTGGCAACAAAATTAAGATCCAAACATACTACATTTCACAGATAGGGCTGTAGGGCTACGAAACATTCTCTCCCATGGTCTCCTTTTCCACATGGAACATCCCAATGTCGAAATCTGAAAACTGTTTACATATGTATAGGACATATATGAAAGACCTACAGCAACCAAAAGTACTTCAAAACAATACAGGCTGGTTCCCACTGGTCTAGAAAAAACTTGACAAATCCTCCACCCAAGAGCAACTTCTGCTTCAGAAACAGTAGACAGAAATTGAGCAGTTCTGTCCAGTGACTTTTGGACAAAGCTATCACAAAGATAGTTGATGGCCTGTGAATTAAAAATATTCCCAATCTTGCGGGTGGAACTACACTTCTTCACAGGTGTGAAGATGTATGAATTTAAGTTCTGGTTGCATGCGTCTTTGCTTGTCTCATCGGTTTTCAAACTGACAAATGCAATGATCAGATCCCCTCTCTTCCTTTTCGTTAGTCTAATTTTTCAGTAAGCTAGTTCAGCTTAAAATGGCAGTAAAATGCTACCACCCTGAGGTAGAAACATTTTGCAACCACTGCCTAGAGCACATAAACCTAGAGAAGAGCCCTACATTTCTATGAACTTAAGAACTCAGAGGATCATGTATTTCAATTCTTCCACTGTAAAATGGAAAACAAATAAAAAAATCAATACCCATAAAAATAGAACGGAAAAGAAGTAATTTAGAAAAAGTATGCAAGTCTATTGCCCATCCTGCAGAATACTGCCTCAATCCGTAAGTCTTTGTGCTTCTTAATGGGCTTTTACATCAGAGCAAGCAGGAGGTACTTAGTGTTTTACAGAAAGAATTGAAGGGGGATTCTGCTTCCATAAAAGGTAATAAATGCTTTCTTAGCAGAAGAAGAATGAAAGTCATAAACAGGAAATTGGAAGTTTTTCTAATTTGAGTTAAGTCTTTATTGTACAGCTCAGCTGAGACTATTCCTAGGTTAAATTACAGTAAATGCAAAATATACGTAAATGAACTTAGAGATTGTTTTACCTGCTTTGCTGTAATCCTTGGCCATAGGCGGCCTTGATAAGGACGTATTCAACATTGCTTAGCACAGACATGAAGTCAGAGCGTGAGACAGGCTGCTCAGACACGGAGTTAAAATATTTCCAAGAATCCTAAGGGAACATGACACAAATTCATTATATCACCAGTGTTTAAACCTATGTATTTATTTAAAGGTAACACTCTCTTCCGCCTTACACTGTCAGAAACACAGTCACTGTGTCTAAACTCTAGGTCCCAGAAAAGTTTCCAAAATCCCTCTCAAAATCTCGCTCCATGTTGGAGCAAGTCATGGTTTTGTAACATTTCTCCTCTCCTTCTCTTCCCTTCCTCCCGCCTCCGAGCCGTTTCTATACAAAAGCAATCTAGGTGTGTGAGAAATGTTTTCTTCTGGCTAGGTCTGGGGAACACAGATGCCCAGGAGACTAGGACTCCACAGCATTCATCTCACATGCAGTTAGAAATAGCCGTAATTGTACCCTGCCTCCCGTCAAGAGGCAGCTTATTCCAGACCTCACCTCCTAAAGACCAAATGAGGTCTCTGTTATCTCCTCTGAAATTGTCCTGTGGACACTACTATAACTTACTGCTCCTGCCAGGCCAAGATTCAGGACCCAAATGATGATGCCTGGGCGAGCGCATAACATACAGGCAATGCAAATGCGTGAACTGCTAAGAGCAGCAACATCGGACTACGTTTCATTTATCACTGAAATCTATGTTTGAAAAGTTTCCCTCAGTATTATCACCGTCAGCATTTCCAATAGAGAAAACAAAGTCAAAATGCTGTTTTCCTCTATAATATGACATTCACGGCCAATTTTTTCTTTACACTAGATGCTTTTTAATCCAGCACTGTATTTAGTCTGCCTATTTGAAGTCAGGTATGTTTTTTTTTTAAATATTTTCTTGAATATATGGGGCTTTTCTGTAAAAAGTCATAGAATAAAGAAATTGTCCCCTTTTCCACACCAATGTTTTAGCTTACCTCCTTCATTTCTACTTCCTCATTACTTCTGACTCCATTTTCTGGAGAAGGGATGTCTACATAAATGACCAATTTACTGGTGTGACCCCCTTTGATTAGAATCTGTGGCTCGAAATTTGAGGTTCCAAAGCCATCCAAGGCATAAAATGCAACAGTGTATCTCAGCTTTCCTCCATAGGCCATGAGCTGTTTGGATAAAAAATTACTTTTATTTATTCCAAGGTTATAGCTACTAGCTGAAAATATTTTAATGCCATCAAGACTTGAAAACTGTCAGTTCTTTGAAGAATTGGCAATAAAATATAAAAATTGACTCAAACTCAGCAGTTTTTGCATCAAGGTTAAATGTGCATTTCTAAAACGCAGACACAGGTTCTTCTTCTAGGCCTTTTCAAGGTGTGCCCTCATTTTTCATTTAATTTCTGAGCAGTAAATTCCAAGAGCTAAATACTGAATACAGTGTCAAGGATGAAAGCTCTTTCAGGTTTCTAAAGTAAAACTACATGCACTCTTTTTGCCCCTGTGCAATCTCTGAGTAACACAGTAATTAAATATGGGTGTTACCCTTTCGCAGTGACAAAAATAATCTCCTTAGGAAAGAGTAATGTAAATATTTGTTCTTGCTATAAATAAATTCAATCTGAAAATTCTTAATGTCATTACCTACAAGAATAGAACGAATTCAGAAAAACATTATCAAGATGAAGTGACTATTATACAATAAAGGAACGATCTATAAAGCATTCTAATTATTTAATGATCTTACCTGGTCTCCCTGAAACTGCTCTGGTAACCTCCAGTAAAATGTTTCTGTATTTAAATGTTTTCTAACAATGGCAGCATCCAGTAAAACATCAGGAAATTGAAAAAATACACCTTCCGCTGTTCCAGTCAGGTTACTTTGAGATACTACACGCAGAATGGGCTGATCTGGACTTAGGGTTATCTACAACACAAAGAGCAACAGATTAATCTTACAAAATTGTTCTATCCCAGTGTAATACACTGTTAACAGTTTTAACTTCTTTCAGATAGTCTTTAGTCCATTTTAGAGTAATACACACTCAGGCCAAGAAACTTGGAAACACTTTTGATAATTATATAAAAAATGTTTGGATTGAAATACAAGGTTTCAGAAACAAGGCTATTACCACTTAACTAGTGCTTTCTTTCTGTTCTGCCCTAAGCCACTGCCATCTTAAGTTAGCTCATTACATTCATCCTGACTCATGAATCACACACAACTCTACACACAGCAGTGTGATACCATGAGCATAACGTCAAATTGTCTGTGCACATTTGTATCACTTTACTTACAGGAATTCTCACATGGTCTTCTGCTTCCGAACAAAACGCGGATATCCCGGAACAGAAGCACGGAGTACACCCCAGCGCGTTGCTAGCCGATAGAGCAAAAGTTCCAGGTTTGCACTCACTGCACTGCAGCCCAAATACGTTTTCCTGGAGGAAATAAATAAAACAAAAAAAAAAAAAAAAACACCACAGGATCACCCGTGTGACTTTGCTAGCTGAATGAGAGATGGCTCTTTTGGGAAGAAAAACTACTAGCTATACAAACTACAAAACTGGAAGTCAATTATTGTCCCTTTTGTTTTACTAATGCAGTAAGTTTTCTTTCTTTTTCATTTTTATACATTACTGTTTTGTTTTTTATTTAAACTTGGAACAAATATACATTTAAGTAAAACTCATATTTGAATTCCTAGCTAAAATTAGCAACAATACATATGTGTTAAAGATAGAAAACACAATTTCCTCCACTCTGAAAAACAGGCTCTCAAAACCAAAGAAACTGCTCAGTATGAATTGCAATGAGGGGACCTAGTCCCAAGTGTCTACTTGTGAGCTCAGTTCCTAACTGCTAAGTCCAGCTTGAGGAAACACTGGAAAAAACTACAGCCTTGATTGGCACCTGTATAAGAATCTGGAGACTATGGACACACATGTTTATAGGATTGAAGAAAGTTCTTCTCTATCATTCAGTCTTTCAAGAATAGATTCTTACCCTTTCAGAAAGATCTATACTCCTAAATCTCTGTATTTAATGTTTCTTTTTTTAATACTAGAAATCAGACTTCACTACTAGCAATATACCTGAGTTATTCTCAAGCATTTTCTTGGTTGTAGTGGAGAAAATAGAAATTTGGACTTGCAACACCGTCGTATTAAGTCATGTAGAAATGCTAAGATTCTGTTTTGTGTTTATTGGTTTTTTTCCTGTCATTATAGTTTCTTTCCTTTCCAAAAGAGCAGCCTCAATCACCTGAATCAATGTGCTGTTCCCAAATCTAATAAAACCATGTGTGTATGAGCAGAAAAAGCTTTTTTGTATTTCATTACTTCCGCTTGCATAATGAGGATAAGAATACAATACCTATTTCACTAGAGTTTCTAACATTTAATTAGGTTTTTTTTTTTCATGTTTTGACATCTAGGGATGAGAGGAGCTGTCTATCTCTAGAATGAAGCAATTTTCTGCGAAAACAGCATGTAGGGAATTTATGCTTTTATGTTAAGAAAGAAAATAACCTTTTTATCAGAGATTGTTTGCTCAGAAACTTTAAGATGACATCAATTAATGTGACTGCACTCTAAAGTGCAACTCCCGCAGCCCAATAATCGTAGACTCTGTGAAGCAATAGTTTTCCCTGGCTTGAGGTAAAAACATTTTATCTTTATTGCTCATTGTGTCAGAATCATTTTTTTTTCTATAGAACAAGCTGATTCTCCTCCAATTTTCTATATGTATTGAGAAAACAACCTTTTAAATAGTGAATCAAAAATAAGAAATACAAGTTATGGATTAACATTATTACTAGCGCTATTTGCAAGGCAAAATGAGACTGCAGAGAAAAATAAGAGGAATAAATAAAACATATAAAAATTGTATCATTAAAAATGGTTCATATGGACTTGTGCTTGGAATCAGAGGCATGTACACACAGTGGAATATAGTGATATTGAAATCATGAGCACTATTCCCCTATATTTCATAAGGTTTACAAAAATTTTGTCTCGGAACTCATGGCCAGCCCTTGTCCTACTCAAGAAAGTACACTTGCCCTTTGTGAGGCAGACAGAAGTCTAGCAGCAAAGAGGAAAAGTAAGGCAAATGCATCCTCGTTCATTTCTACTTGACAGAACTAATCCATGAAAAAAGGGTACTTGTGTACTGTAAGAATGATGTGGTTACAGAAATTCACTTCATACAGGATAAGCACATGGAATTTACACTGAGCAAGTACAAACAACAGAAAGAACAAAGGTGTATTAGTTCTGTGCATTTGAATTTGGGACTGCCGTTGAGAATGCAACTGTGAAATGACCCAAATCCCGTACAAGATGGGAAAGAAACCAATCACTATTCTATCAGATGTACTCGTTGTTAGTAAACTTTGCAAGAATTCAGTACAGTAGCCAGCTAGAAATGATCCTTTTTATGACCGAGCATACAACAAGGTGTGATCCTGTCTTCTTAACACACATCCACATCAAATTCCATGAGTTTTACCTAAGAGAGACCTGGAGTACAGTGCTACAATGATGTGATGACCACAAGCTGAAAACAAAGTTACCTGGCAACTTGAAACAAAGCAGAGGAAGGTAGGAGAGGCAAACTCTCAGGCTATTATAATAGCAGTTCCTGAGGAGGGAAAACGACAGTGGCATGTTGGTTACTCTGATGCCTAGAGCTGTGGTGGGTCTGCCCAAACCGGGAACCTCAACCAGCAGTTTTCAATCCAGATCCCAGCGGGAACTTGGAGAGCTTTAGGTGTCCCTGGCCAACAACACCACACAGAGAAATGACCCAGAATAGGAGCTGCCTGCTGGAGGAGCCCCAAGTTACCAGGCATGCTAGCAGGTGCAAGCAGCACCTGAAAACACAAGGACTATGTTGACAGCATACAGTCAGATACATCTGGCAATGAGAAAGCTGAGCTGCTCGAAATAGATAAACTAGCCATACTCTACAGCAAGGGGCCACCCACTCCATCTCTGTGCTCCATTTTCTGTCAACAGAGCCTTCAGAGGTCTGTGAAAGCCAAAAAAAAGCACCTAAGAAACTTGGAAATAAAAGGGAAGATCAGATCTCTCCAGCTGGGATAGAAAAGATACTTTTCTTATAAGAACTGTCTAGCACTGACACAGAAAATCCATTTTGGACGATTTAGGTGTACTCAGAAATGTCTCCGAGCAGGGGTTAAGAGCAGATTGCCTTGTGAGGTTCCTCTCAGCCCTATGATTTCCATGATTTTTACGAAATAAGTGACCAGAAAAGTGACCAATGTTGTCCCAAAAACTTCTGAATATTTCAGTACCTTGCAGGTACAGATGCCAGTATCTTCCTCGCAACCACAGAGTCCTTCAGCACTATCACACATCTCCGTTTTGGTTCCACTCAAGTCACAGTCACAGGCAACGCAGTCTGGATAGTCCCTGTAGCCTACTGCACACCTGGAACAGTCTTGTCCTCCAAACTCAACTTTGCATGGGCACTGACCAGTCAACACATCACACTGGAGACTGGCTGAACCAATGCTGCTACAGTTGCAAGCCTTAGAGAAAATCAGATAATGTTCATAAATAATAGGTATTTATAAACAATTTTATTACAAAGGAAACGGCACAGTCAATTTAGAGCGGGTATTAAAACTCAGTGTTTGCCAATACTTATTGTACAATGTCAATACTTATTATACAATGACAGAAAGGAAGGACTTCCTAATAGAAACGGGGTTGTTTGGTTTCTCTTTAAACAAAGAGCTGAATTTCCAGTAACAGTGGATTGTAAAAAGTAAGAAGCTCTGTTGATTCCCACATCTGAGCTTCAGAACCAAAGGAGCTGAAGGAATCAGTTCTAGGAAAACAAAAAATTCAAAACACTTTATTTAAATTATTATTTATTGAGGGCAGCAAATAAATCAAAATAAAATAATATAAATATTGAGTGAAAGTAACCTATAAGTAGAATAAATTTAGAAATATAATAGGAAGAAAAAAATCTTAATGCTGACATTCTTTTAAGATTTTAAGGAACACTAACAAGGTCCAAATCTTGCTAAAGCTTCATTTGTAACATGGTAAGGAACCGAGGGTCTTATTGCGTTAGAAGGTGGGAAGCTCAGCACACACAGGAGTTCATCACCAGCAGAACACTGTTCCCTGGCACAGCCCATCCTTCCTTATGCAATCAGTAATATGAAGCTGCTATTACAAATATGGGAAGTGGGTGTACTTAATCTGTCATCCTTTTTTGAGCCAGTCCGGATGTAATATTTAGTCTTATTTTCATATCTGTCGTTACTTAAACAAGCCTGATTTTGTTCTGCGGTTATTTCTAAAAGTGCAGGCAGAAAAGTACATTCAATCTGTCATGTCTTGACTTCAGTCTTCTCTCCTCCTCACCTCTCTGAGGTGAAGAGCCTTAGCTTGTAAAGCACTCTACACAATGGCTCACAAAATCTATTAACATTATTATGTACCCTCTCGCACTCTCCACACGTATTTGCTGCTCACCAGTAGCACTCTTTGTATTAAGCAGACTTTTTACTCTAGTAGCATGCTATTCTGCCTAATCCTATAGAGTTTTTGACCATATAGGTTTACAACTTTGGCTCCCAGGTACCTTTAAAGATCTACAGCTCTGAATGTTAAGCTTTATTTTAAAGCACCATAAAAATAGAAATAATTTGCATGTATTTCAATCTTTATCTATATGCGATAAGTACAAATAAGGGCTATAAGGTACAATTAGCTGGGCTGAACCACTTGACAAGATGAAGCAGGTTGTAAGCAGAACATGACTGCAGTCCTGCTCAATCACAAAAACCCAGAAAGGGGTGTCAAGTACTGAAAACGCTGCAAGAAAATATAGTAACAGAGCCATATGAAATATCCCGCTAACACAGTCTGTGTTGCAAAGACAGATCAGCTGCACCGTCTGATACCATCTCCCCTGCACCATCCGTCTGGTGAGCATGCGGGAGCCTTTCCAGGGTTTGCCAGGAGACCGCACTGGATCTCAGCCTGCCACAGTGACCATTCGGCATGGGCGAGCCTCTGTCGGGCTGCTGTCTGCAGACTACAGCATTGTTTGTTGCACCAAGAAAGTAACTAAAATACCTTAAAATAATTCCACGTTAATTACTGTGAAACTGTAATCAAAAGAAATGTTAACAACTTAACAAAAATGAGCGGTCACATATTTAATTAAACTTGATCTCTGGCAAGTGCAGAGGAATCACTCTATCAAAGGAAAATTTAAAAGGGCTTTAGCCTCCTACCACCACCTCCTACGCAGGGGAAGTGCACGCAGACCAGGCACATTGTATTTGCAGAACAGTAGGTAAGGATGGTAGTAGCTGATAGCTGACAAAGCAGTTGTTTAAACCTTGGCTGCTAAGTAATTTGCTATAAATCACTAAGATGACAAACTTTGAAAAGAGGTTTTAGGACTGTTTTATCATCCTTACTTTAACATATTAAAGACAGGAAAAACAACTCAATTTGGCTGATGCTTGTGCTTGTTAAGTACTTACCATGTATAAGACAGATGTTGTCAAGTTGATTATATTCATGGTTTCTCCATCGAAATCAACCATTATACTCAGGTAGTTCCAAGGCTTTTTAAAATCTCAGCATTTATAAAATAAAGGTTGGCCCAATGCCATATTTGACAGGAATATACTGGGTGAACCTAATTGCCTAAAATCATTGCTGCTCCTTGGATCTGACCTGAGGCTGGCATTTTGCTCCATTCAGGAAACATGAGCTACCTTATTCTATTTTAATTTTAAATATTCAGAAAAAAAGGTCTGCAATGACTTTCAAGATGTGCTAGATTTCACTGTTCTTAAAACCATAATATCATCACTACTTGATTAGCACAGAAACCAAGTTCCTTCTTGCCAATTGCTGCAACAGATCTGTTCCAGCATTACTATTTAAGCAATTAAGAGTTAGAAGACATACCTCAAGGTTTTAATATGATCTATGCACCTACCCAGTACAGTCACTCCAATCAGTATTTTCAAAGAGAGCTTTCTCAGAAGGCTCCTCAATAAATACTTTACAGTCTTTTTTTTGTTTTTTAATATGAGCATCTGGCTGTAACACTTTGAAGCAGAGAATAAAGATTAAGATTCTCAAATCAAGAGGCCAATTCTGACCTTAGTATAAGGTGAATTCTTTGAATAGCCATAGCTTTTTTTCACAGCCTACCATACCTTGCAGCCAAGCTCAGGATAGAGTCCCCAGTGATTTTCCTCACAAAATTCGCATTTTGGTCCCTGAGTGTGAGGGGGGCAAATGCATTGACCAGAATCTGCATTACAGTTGTTCTGAGTATGAGCACAGTCACAAGCTGCAAGAGAAATGAGACCAAATGATTAACACTGATTTTGCTTTTGCTATAGAGAACAAACTTCAAGATCACTGATATCCTTCCTTTTCTTAATTACGCGATATGGTTCGTCCATTCCACTAGGAACGCAATGCCAGCCCTAACCACTGAAAAACAAATTATGACCATAATGACATTTCATCTTTTATTGAAAGTCCATTATACCTGTCAGCAAAGCCTGTTTTCTGGTTTAAAAAGCAGCGCTACATTTTCAGGGGAATCAACAGAGCCAAGCAAAATTACTATGGAGAACAGCAAATTTGTAGGAAAAATGCTACTGCAGAGGATGCAAAACTCATCAAGTGATACAATAATTTCCTCAAACAGCTGAAAGGATTAACCTCAGGAATAAGTAATTTTAAAGGAACTGTTTAGTGAATAATAGGAAAGGATAATTATTTTAATAATAACTCTATTACTGCAAGAAAGCACTTGTCTATTTAGGAAATATAGTACTATTCCTGCTAAAAGGCATAGATTCAGAAAAGTGTTTCTATTAATTGCTTTAATGGTATTTACAAAATTGTCAAGACTGAAACTGCTAGAGGTACCTAAAGGTCTTTGGTCATAGTAAACCCAGTTTTAAATCGTAAAATATGTTCAGAAACACAATCCTATCACATAATCTTATTGCATATTTCACATTACTGTACTACTTGAGACTTAAAAAAAATGTTTGTGTCAGGCTGGAGAAAAGGATGGCATTCCGTTGGCTGTAACATGTTGAAAAGGGCTCCTTATTAACATGATAAATCAAGTATTTTTGATGGCATGTGCTTACTTTGGATTAATGTTTCCCTCTGTACCATAACAAAAAATTGTACATACCCAGGTGATGATGGGAAAATACAGTCAATGACATATCAAAGCATAAAATAAATTTGCAAGAATTATACAGAAAAAAATAAGGTAGAAAATCTGTTACAGTAGTAGCTTTTAGCTTTTGTAATTGGAGGAAAAAGTTTCTATTTTCTCAGGAGGCTGGAAAGACTTTGGTTAAAAAAAAGAGACTAAGGAGCTTTTTAGAAAGCAATACTTCTCTTACGAAGTTTTTATGACTTGCTGTTTCATAGTCACCACCTTTTATGAGGAACTAAGCAATAAGCCATCAAAAAAATGCTTTGTTCCCTAGCTTTATGAAAGTATTGGGAAACCATTCTCCACATTTTTCAGAATATTTATTGAAGCAACCGACCTTTGCTGAAGTGTAGCATAAAACATACTTTTGAAAGAAATTCCAGATAGGCCCTGAAAGGATCATGGATTAGCTTACGTGTGCAGCCACCGTCCTGGAACGCGTGGAAGCCATGAGCACAGCGATCACACTTTTCTCCAGTCACTCCCGGTACACAGTGGCACTGCCCCTGATCATTGCAATCCTTGGAGATTGAGCCAAATTGACTGCAGTTGCAGGAAACACAGCCAACTCCAGTAAGCAGGCCATAATAACCATTCTGTTGGACAGGAAAGAAATGTTTCAGCTATATTTCATAACTCAGTGAAAAAATATGAAGTATGCTCTCATTTGCTGTTGGTTACTTTCCCTGGTGTCTGACCTCCATGAATACTAATCGACTTTATGCGTCCACTGGAGAAACATCATCTCTTCACTATTCCCAGCTATATACGAGTATGCGTTTGGGTGAAAAACCGAACATCAACATGCTTATGTGGTCCTCTAAAGCTCATTAGAGAGACTTTACATTTTAAAGTCTGAGGATATTTAAATTTAAACACTTCCATGAGGCAAGGGTGGGCTGTGTTGATCAGGCACAGAACAGAGCCTGTCAGTGACTCAGGTAAATGTGATTGACTACTACTCACCTGGGCACAGGGACAGCAGCTGGGCAGAGACTGCCAGCTCCGGTCTCTAAGGCAACCCTGCACTTAGCAAGAGTTGGGGACTGCTGTTTTATATCACTCATGTATATCTATTTGTTCTTGTAACAGGTCCGTCCTTTAGCTGAACCCCTCTTTGGTGGTCAGCCATGATGTATTTATTATCCCCAACCACATTCTTCAGATATTCCTGCTCAGAGTTTATTTTGCAGAAGCACTGTGCTAAGATCCCTTCAGGTTTTTCCAGGGTGGTTTGGTTTGTTTTTTCGGTAAATCGACATGATTGTGCCCTGTCAGTTAGTGCGGCACTAATTTGTACAGCTCGATTCAGAAGAGCGCTGAGCCAACTACATAGCTTCACATCTGCAAAGACCACAGGCAGTGCAATTCACAACCGCAAAAACCTGCACAGACAAACTTTTGCTCTCCTTTCCAAAAACAGGTCCACTCTCCCCTGAATATCTGAGTTGCCTCTCTCCGCACCTGCTCTGGTCTGAGTTCACCCTCCCTGAACAAGGGTGACCAGAATTTTACTTACAAATCCAGGTTAAGACCTTACTGGTGCATTACTACTGTCTTACTGGTGCATTACTACTGTCTATCCCTATTGGAAACAGCTCACCTGACACATCCTAAACCATATTTGCTTCTTCCACAGCCGCACCACACCAGCAAGGTACAGGTTTCCTATGATCCTGTAGCACCCTCAAGGTCTTCCACCTTCTCATGGTGTCTCAGATCAGCGGAGAAGTTTTCTTATACCCCAAGTTTATTACCTGTCATTTTGTACTGCCAAAAATCATTCTGTTTCTTTTCCACAAGCCCTCAAGCACCTCTGACCTAACTATCCACCAAGAATTCCATGTTTTGTGCCAAAGCCATAAGTGAAAATAGCAGACTAATCAAAAGCCTTTGGTTTTCTATGGAGTGATCATGAGGTCAAATTCCCAGAGAATTTTGGGGAGTGGCAAATAAACTTTATATAGCAAACATTCAAACAGAAAAAGCTTTCCTTTTGTGTCTCTTCACACTAATGTCAGCATCTGCAGATAAACAGACAGACCAAGATACAAGAAAATGCAGACGTCAGGAACAGGTAAATATTGCTTACCAAGCACTTATCACATCTTTGCCCAATAACGTTTGACGTGCACTGACAGAAGCCCGTCTCATGATGACAAGTACTGGAAAGGGAACCATTCACATGGCACTCACAGGCTTATGTTTAGGAAAAAAAAACCAAAAAGTATTCTATTAATATCTATCTATATGCATTCATTATTATACAGGACTGCCAAATTCAGTATATAGTGTATGTTTCACCTGTTTATATCCCACAGATGTCAACACATCACATTAATGATGGTACTATACATTTTGGCCAAAAGAAAAACAACTCTGAAGAGATGCATTTGAGTCAATCACTTCTTCTGGCCCTATACGTAACACTCTGAAGTGGGAAACATCTGCAGCAGGTAACTGAAGGGAGAGTACTAAGCAAGCCAGTAAGTCTGAGGAACATGAGGAGTTAGACCCCCAACATAATACACTCCTTCCTCATGCTAACCCAACCATATAGCTTTCAACCTGCACTTGTCAACTCACAACTTGAACTAGAAGGTCAACTCTTTCAAAAAAGGCATATATCTCCCTATCCACTCAGCTACATGCACACCACATTTTTATGTTCTTTAAAACACAAGAGTTAATAATAGTAGCTTACCACGACAGCTTTTCTCAGTCACTGCATCCCCATAATACCCATCAGCACACCTTTCACAGTGGTGACCCCCAGTGTTCCCCACGCACTTCAGGCACTGTCCTGTGACAGTATCACAGTGGCCATCCTCTTCAGGGTTCACATTGCCATTGCATTCACAGGGAACACACGACTGCCCAGGCACCAGTGGATTCCCATAGTAACCATTAGCACATCTGCACAAGAGATTGAAAACTTTATCAGCTGGAATGAAGACATATCAAATACTCTTCCCACCCAAGAGAGTATTTCCTAATCAACTTTTTTTTCTAAAGAGGCTCTGTGAAGACAAAACGGAAAGGAAAGCTATATTAGGAGTCTTTTGTACATGTGGTATAAACAATTCAAGGCAGGTAGGATGATGTATAGTTAGTGATGACAATGATATCAATATTTTATCCAAAACTAGTGTACATACCTTTCACATTGAGAACCAGTATAGCCTGGAAGACATTTGTCACAGATAATTTCACCTCCTTCACTCAGCAGGCAAGTAGGACTGAAACTACCAACAATATTTTTGGCAGTCAATATCAATACACAGAATTACAGACGTCTACAAACATTCAATACCTGCCCCTCAAGCCTGTGCACCTATTTTTATAACCCTGTAATTGCAAATTTTTATAGATTAACATCAATGCTTTAACCATGACATGTCAAAACAGAACTATCATTTTTAGAAATTCTTCTCAAGGTTTTGTCTTTTAAAAGAAAGGAAGATTTTAAAACTTCCTGAAAATATAGCCCTCTTTCTAGCAAATCTGTCAAAACTCTGTACCCATCTCCTTTTTTTCACATTCAATGCTTCTGTCCTTTTGTTATTTTCTGAAATAACATGAAAGAGAACTGTGATTTTGCTGCCAAGTTCAGCGATAGGTCTAAACATTACTTTCACTCTTCATGTACAAATTGTACCAGTTCACTCAGCCTCCCTTAATCTATACATTTGTCTACCTGGCAAAATAATGTTTCTGACTCAAATGAGAGAGAGAAGAAAAGTCTCCCTCTCCTTCACATTTCATAACACTTTTCTCTCTCCCACATTCTGATTTTGCTGAAGATGCAAAAGAAGTACAAGCAGTTTACTTGTTTGCAGCAGAGCTCAGAGGGCAGGCACAGGGCTGGCAGTCCTCAGGAGTTCCTTGAGATGGATGTCCGTAGAAGCCAGGCAAGCACTGATCACAGAAAGGTCCTGTTGTGTTGTGCTGACAAGCCTGCAAGGCACAAAAAAATTTTTTTTTGTTTTTACTCTTGATAGTTTTTCAACCCCTGAGGCATCTCCGCAGGAGTCTGCATGCAGTACAGCATCAGCATTCAAGGAGAGGGCAAGAAGAACGGAGAAGAACTTTGAAGATAAGTTGGGTTTTCTGAGTTATAACAACAATTTCTAGTTACTTCTCTCCAAAATTTTAGAGGGTACTCTACATCACGAAACAACCACATTGCTAATACATAAACTTAAATTTTACACTTTGTACACACTCGCAGTCACAAACTTCTTGTATGTTTCTCACTGGTATTTAGCCATTCTATTTCTGTGACCTTTTCATTTCAGAAGAAAGAGATCTGAGAGCAAAGTTCTGTCTTCAGAAAGGAATGCGTAATTTCCACTGATGTCAGTCATAGGAGATGCATGTATATGTGACAACAGATCTTCACCCAAAACACTGCTTAGTTTTTTGTTCATTCGAGGAAAAGCTTTTTTTATTGACCTGAGCAAGCAAAGCTGAGATTAGCCAGTATATACTGACATTTTTATTTTACTGCTGGCTATTCCCCACTTCAAATGGTAAATTAAAACAAATTCTTTAATGCAAAACACTTTAAGGGAGCCCACTGAAATATACTGAAGTAAACAATAAAAAGCAAGAAGAAAAAGTTCTACACCTATAGCTTGAAATCCGCACAGATTGTAAATTTGTCTCCCACAGCCAAAAACCTCTCTAATTCGTAAACAGATGCTTAAAATACAAACCAAGGATGACTTACAGAGCAAACACCATGAATATCACATTCAGTTGCATGCCCGTTGCATTTGCAGGGTTGACAAATACCTCCAAAGAGTATTCCATCCACACGGTAGTACCCAGGGAGACAGGACTGAAAGGAAACAGCAGAGGGGGGAAAACAGAAGCATTATGTACCTTAGAAGTACACATCAAATCATAACCAGAGAGCCCACTTCTGACCACCCACAAACTGACTTTTTCACATTCTGGTAACTGAATGCTCTTTCAGCTCCACTGATGTCTCTGCAACTCTTTTCTGGTGGTTATTTTTTACTTGCACTGGGTAAAGGGGATAAGAGTTAACTCCATGAAACTTTCATTCAACCCTTTGCCCTCTGGAGGCATATAAGTTAAGTTTCATGCAGGTCAAACGTGAAGTTCTCTACTATGAGACAATAAAAAGCAGATGTTCTACCTCCTCTGCAGAATCATTAATGATGCTATGGCACAGAGCTTCACACTGAAATTATTTGTCAAAATAATTCCTGCTATTCTGCACATGGTGCTCTGTCTTCATAATCTTCTAATCATAGATATATAAGACATCACCTTGCATAACACACTTGACCCTTGTGGGATCTTCCAAGATTAGCACTGCTCCCTGCTAAGGTCCCTTATTGCTTTCACAAGCCTAATGATACAAAACAGAAATAAGATGTGCACAATTCAGACCCAGGAAGAATGCTATTAATGAGTAAGGTAAGCTGAGAACAGCCTAGCACAGCTTTTACAGCTGCTCTTTTTCTGTAACACCGATGCTCTGAAATGTATCATGACCTTTGAGTGCCACCAAACAGAATTCAGGAAATAAGTTTAAAATCTCATTAAGTGTACCTAGAAGAAAATATCAACAGCACTGTGTACAATATAGTACACAACATTTCACCACAGCAAATATATATTTTTATAGCAGTGTAATTAAAGGCAGCTTGCCTTTACTATCTAGATCCTTTCAAAAAGGAAGAGCATTTTGCATACACAAAACACTAGCAGAGGTTACCTCACAGGATATGCCTGTGTAACCTTGAGGACATTCACAGAATTCCACATCTGGTGCTGAAGAAAGGTCTATAACATTGGCACTTGCAGTATCCAAGGTCACAGAGTCCAGCCTAGGATCAAACAGGAAGACATTACACCGTTTTTTTCCCCAAAGCTGATTTTAAACAGGATAATTTGCTTCTAGGAAAGTAAATGCTGCTCTCTGGTGGTGACAGCTGAGGCACAGGCACAAATCTCCGTTGTAAAAAGACTATGATCATAGCTTTACCACTGTGTGTGTATTTCTGAGCTGGAAGCAGATTTGCCCTCAGCCTGTTATCATTATGATTACTCCCGTTAACTCTGTGACTTCTCCTGTGGAGAGGTTTAATCAAGAACTTCCCTCTGCCATGGTATCAGAGGTATAGCAGTGGGGCAGCCTTCTACTGCAGTCCTGAAATAAAATAGCTTTACTGGACCATGTCTAAAACAGACACATATCACAGGTGGCTGCATAGTCAGAAAGAGCACCAGGTCCTTGCTGGTAGGTGCACACAGAAGGTCTTATTCCTGTGGACTTTGGAAATAAGACAGATCTGTAAGGGCTGCTACAGATACTGCTAATTCTAACTTGAGACTAAGGTATGACCAGTTAATTCATTCCAGTTAGATTTTCCTATTAAGTGCTCCCTTAGAGACAAGCCTCAGTAACATCTGCAAAGAGACGTTAAAAGAAAATACAGCCAATGTCTTTACTAGCAGGTTTTCAATAGTCAGTGATGGATTAACTTGCTGCATACCAAAACAAGCATACTATTGAGAGTTTAGGAGGTATTTCCCTCCAACAGAGCTGTCATTGTAATGAAACTTTCAGTCAGTATTCCTTTAAAGTGGAAAACAATGATTCTGCTATCTTTAAAACAACAAAATGCGTTATTCTCCATATTTCACTTGGAATTTTAGGTACAAGACCAGTCTTGAGAAAATTTAATCCAATATGCTTCTTTCTAGAAAATTATGAACTTAAAACTTTAGGACTATTGCCACTATCAGTGGCATTTCCTATTACAAAAATTATAAAAGTATATGGAATAATTTGAGTATTCTCTCTCTCACCTGTACACAGCTTTTTTGGCAATATTGTAGTTGGCCCTGATCAGAAGATGGGTTACGTTTACTAGAACAGTCATCAACCTTTCCCGGTCCACAGCTTTTTTTGTATTGAAGTCTATGAAATTCTCCGACACAAATCTCACAGCATTAGAATACTCCTCATATGGCTGCAATGACAAGCCTGCTGCTCTCGTACTCAAAGTCTGCCCATTGCCCTGAAATTGAAAGACAGCAAATATTTGCTGTATTTGCATGCAGTTTTTATTTAGCAATTATATTTACTCTCAGTTGACCTCATATAGGTAATTATCCTACATGCACACTGCGTAGCTTTGTACTCACTCCTAAAAGCAACAAAGAATGAATATGAGCATTTCTGCCTTTAAATTTCATATTAAGTGACTGTGGCCAACTTTACTGCTTAACCTAACAGATTGCCTTGGCCTGGGACTTGGGGAAATGATATAGATCCAGATAACATAGAAAAGAGGCAACCGAACTGCATTTCTTGCACTAGGAAAAAAATAAGTAAAAGGGCTGCACTTTCCATGGCTTCATTCCCTTCTAGCTTAGAGACTTCAGAAATACTTGCTTTTCTTTTCGGAAAAGAATTAAACTATATTTCAAAAATCAAGCTCCTCCACAAAATAGAATCTCTTTTCTGTCTTGTTCAATTGCTAACTATTACTATTACAAAATTATACTTTTTGGGGGGTGCTTGGATTTCATATAGTATTTTTTTTTAACTGCAACATAAATCTTTCTAGAAAACTAAGCAAACTGCAAGAATACTCATGTTTCATAAATAGAAACCATTCCAGTTTATTGTAGTTTCTTTTGTAAACAGAGCTTTGTTCATTTAGCAATCACCACCTCAGCTATTTTCACAAAGATTAATTTATAGATATTTATTATATAAAGCTAGTATTGCATACCTACAATTTCAGAGAAATGGATCAGAAAACCAGAGCGCTGAATAATAAGAAAAATCTTGCGAGCGACTTTTAGGAAGGGAGAAACAGAAGGAACAGAGAAAACTACTAATATTGAAATATTCTTTCTCTTTTCCTTTTTAATCTATTAGATTCCCAATAATGTTTGAGTAGTAGCCAGTTGAACAAAAATCCACCTGAATGATGACGTCCACGCTAGATACTATATCACTGTCCACGCTCTCCATCGGAATGTCGTAAGACACCGTATACTTCAAGTCTCCACCAAAAGCTGTCAGCTGCAATAACAAAAATCAAAGCCTTAACAAAGCAGCTTGCAACCAACGCAAAGGGACACAGGATAGTGCAATGCATTTGCAGCAAACTAAAGGAGTGCATAGGCGTACAAACACCACTTTCCACAGCAAGTTTAACACGGCACGCATATTAACACTGGGACAAGTGCTGGCTTGTTGCTGTGCAGGTGGAGAAAGCAAGCTGAAGGCTCTGCTGATGATTCAGGCACGTGCCCTCATTCAGTGCAACATTCACAGGACTTTTAACAAACAGGACAGGTTTACACCACCGTTCTAGCCAAGGGGTACAGCAGACTGGCGTTACTCACACTCCATATTCCACCTTTGGGCTTCTTAGCCCCAGATCTGCTGCTGACTACTTCAAAGTAAATTAAAGAGTATTATCAGCAGTATCAACCTATATTAGAAGGATAGGAGATCAGAACTGGAGGGACTGTTGCCCCGTGCAGAACCACTCCTTGAAATTACACTGAGCCTTGCGTCCATTTACACTGCCACTATACCAAGGAGCAGGGCTGTGCGGGCAAAGATACTGGACTGAGAAACAATGAAAGTAGTGGGGTGGCAGGCAGATCAAAAGCTAGGTGACACAGAGGTTTGGGTAGTAAACAGGGTAAAAATTAAGACTAGTTGTTTGGTAACTGATAAATCTGAAACGGGAGAGGGGCAAGAGGCAGATATAAGGAAGTTAATGGTTCTGGCTATTTATTGAGGCGTGAAGGGTGTAAGCTTGGACTTGGGAGCCAAAACATGGGGAATGCAAGCACCAAGATTAATAACAGCCAGGAGAAAGTGAGAAAGACTATACTGTGTCATGGAAGATGGGCAGAGAAGGAAATGGGGAGGCAAGCGAGCTGTAAGAGCAAGTGCAGAGAGAAGGGGGAACTTGGCCATGAACACTATGATTTGAAGAGCAGAGACAGATTGAGAAGCCTGTTAATATTGGATTCTATCTTTAATTTATAATTATGGAAGTATGAGATATTCCAACCACACTCAAATTTGAATTACTTTCCATAACCTAACCAAAGAACAGACACTGGCTGCATTTGTGCATGGAATGACAAATAGCAACTCCAAGGTTTTCAGTGCACAGTAAAGAAAATATTAAACTGAAGGACAATGATTTACGTCATACAGGAAAGATACAAGAACAAAGTTTTAGGTGCACAGAGGAGAATTCATGGTATACTAATTTCTCAGTAATGAAACATTTTGGAAAGCAGAGATATTTATATGTCTACTGTTTACGTACAAAGACATTTTTACAGCAACACAGTATGATTAAGATAAGGAAACTATAGAATAGTTTTGACTCTTTCTCACTGAGAACTTACTTTATTTCCCAGGTATGGCTCAGGTGCTGACCAGTAGTAAGTGTGTTTCAGTACTTTCACAGCCTCAGTGTTGTTGATACTTATTTGATGGGGTCCATCAAACTGGCCTCGCTGAGGCTGCACACTCTTTGTCTCATACAGATCAGTAACCAGCCACCCCGTCATATCTGATGCCTGCAAAAAAGAAAGGTTATGTTAATGAGAAAGAGGTCATTAAACTTGCCCCTTCCCTAGATACTCATTCAAATTAATGAATCTATAGCACCTTCTTAAACCCAGTCTGACATCCAATACATGCAAATGGTCGCCACTTCATTATAAGCAGACTAGGATCGTCTCTACCTCCCTGCTAGGCAGGAATGAGTGTGATTTGTACCCTCCTTATAAAATTAGCTCTACGCCTACATAATCGCCTGACATTGAATTACAGAACATCAGTGACTTTGAGGCCTAACATCCCCATGTAAAGACAAAACTGAGTCAGAGGAAAGTTAAATCCACAGTCCCTGAGGAAGGTGCAGGAAGACAGAATTTCATTCTTCTCACTGAAATAATTTTATATGAGCACCTTAGAATTTCAGTCTATTCAAGGTGTTTTCTTCTCCCTTTCCTGGCACACAAAAAAGTCAGGGGACTGAAATGTGACTAGCTGTGCAAAGATGTGGAAGGGAGTTGAGAAAAACAGTGCCCCAAAAGCTGCATACTCAATAAATGTCTGCTCAGAAGATAGTGATATTTATAATCCTGATGTTTTCCAAGCAAGAGCATTGGAAGTATTGCTCGAGGTCACATTACCTCTGCCCAATAGGTATGGGCAAGGGAGCAGGTTTTGGCTCCTCTCTTCAACATGCAAAGAAATTTCAACGAGGTCAGAAAAAATGCACTTTCCAGAGCATTACCACAGACTCCACTAGCCAATATTTCTGCAATGCAACCCAACGGGGACACCACTTATACTGGGGTGACATGCTGGTTGTCTCAGATCTATCCACTGACACTGAAAACCCATTCCTCTGTATGCAGGCACATGCCAGAAATTGGAGTTAACTTGGGTGCACGTTAAAAGAGAAATATAGCACATTTTGCAGCCGCCTAAGGAAAGAACATTAGGTCATGGACACAACATATAAATACCTGACTGATGGGCCATGTTAGGCTGTCACAGACATCAGAAACGCCAAAGCAGAAACACTCTGTGCAGCCCTGAGGATTTCTTTCTTGCAAATTGTAGAATCCTCGTTTACAGAGGTCACAGTTTTCACCTTCTACGTTTTCCTGTGAATGGTACATAACATTTGTTTCACATCAGCATTATTATGGTAACAAATACAGTGGATTAGATGGGATTTAGGCATAACAACATTCAGAAGGCTATAAAAGAAAACAGATTTCAGCACAGCAGGCCTATTGAATATGACTCAGTGAGCTTAAAACTAAAATTGATTGGAAAAATTCATCAGAATTTGCCTGTTAATCAAAATCTAAACATGCCACGTAAGGGCTTGAATGCAATGACATTCTGGCACATGGGCAGGTTTTGCAAAACTTCTGCTACTTTGCCAGGCTCTTTCTCTAGTAGCTTGAATTTCTAGGCTGCTTTGGGGAAAAAGTTCCCATATTTACAGCATCCAGATGGCCCACAGGATAGCTTACCTTGATGGCCAGGCTCTGGAGCTACCACAGCCAGTTTTAAGACAACGTCCTCAACCATCTATTACCACTCGCGTTGCGAACCCCACCACTACTGCCACCTCTTCCTACAGGAACAGCACGTATGCATATGCTAGCTGGCAGCTCTTCCTCCTGACTTGCTCTGGCTAAGATCCAGAAATTCCTGCTCTGAAAGCAGAGGGGCTCCACCCCTGCTAGCTCCTAGCACTGCCTTCTGCATCCTCACCACAGAAACGGGGTAGTCCAGAGCACACTGTTATGAAGCTCTTTAATGCAGTATTTACAGGGAAAAAAGAAAGACCCCAAAACCAGTGCACCCAGCTTTCTATAACTAAAATCTTCTAAGCTTTCTGCTGACATTGTGTAGCTATTTATTAAAAACATTTAGACAAAAGCTACTGAGAAGCAAACAAGTAAAGACAATATTCTGTAAAAGCCCATGCAGCTGTGTAAGCTGTATCTCTATGCTCTGAGACCCAGCACTTTTTCTGCAGCGGGGATAAGGTTCTGGCCATGTCCCAGCTTCCTATCAGGGTAAAACCTGGATATATATGACTACCCACCTCACCCTTTGGTTTGCACTATGAGGAAACTCCGCTACAAGGGCAAAGAGGGTGTTACTGTGCACCCCACAATTTCCCTGCTACAGACAGCCAAGGTGCCAGGACTGTGGAGCATACTGTGAAGCAAACCTGTCTTGCCGTTTTGAGGAGCCTAGTATGAGCACCATGGTCTAACTTAAACCCAAAGCCTGGGGATGAATTGTGCTTCCAGCTACACCAGGGTGTAACTTCCTTCCACTTTGGCCAGGAAAATCACTCCAGATTGCAGCCTTATATTAGATTTGGTCCCATATAGCTGATTTCCAGCTCACTGGAGAGAAATCTTAACCCTTTCATGGCAACACTACCAACTGTCTCCTCTCATGGACCAGCATTTGGTGTGTGAACGTTACGTAAGACTTCTCCAAACAGGTAGGTTATCTGCTTTTGTAAGCAAAATACAAACTGGTTCTGCAAACCATCAGAAAAATGTAGATCCTCACATCTTCGATTCTTAGGCTCAGGATGCCTGCTTTCAGCCCCAGGCAAAGGGCCACCTGAGGTAACGGCTTTAAAATGTTGGATTTTAGAGAAATAATAATTGTGTGTTCTTTTCAGCTTTTTTTTATTTCTCAGTCTTCAGGATGCACTTGCATCACACATTTCACTTTGTCTCTCAACACACATCTCGCTTGTCACTGCCAAGTATAAATTATTATTTACTTCATAAAGAAAACTGAAAATCTTACCTAGTAATGAGAATGGGTTTCACAAAAAGAGCAAGTATGAAATCCAAACTACGAAAAGAAGTGGTTTTGCATTATTGTGTTCACAGAGACTGTACTGGCTTAGAAATCCTGCCTCCTTCCTTCAACACTCGGAGCACACAACTTCCTCCTTCCATACAGGTGTGCTGCTGGCTGGTGACACCCTCAGTAATCTCACCTAAAAATTCTGTATGCCAGGTTCACTCTCAGGACAGCACTAAGACGGATAGTTTCTTGCTCAGTTTATACCAAAATTTTAACCAGTTTAGCTGCGTTGGCTAAAAACACGTTACTCTAGCTCAAAAACAGGCAAAGCAGTTGTATCTCTTTTTTCTTTTTTAACTTGGCCACTGGAGCTACTTCTTTCTTCCAGAAGTATGACTCTGGTTATTTATGTTTGCTATTTTGGATCAGACAAATTATGCAAAAGAACTAAGCAGTTTTAGAAAAGCTGTCAAACAAACCACAGTTTTTTTGGCTGCCGTTCACTGTCATACTTGGCAACAAATATAAAAACTACTAGCTAACATTTGGTTCAGAAAATTAAGTATAACTTCTTTAAATATTGACACACAGCCTTCTAATAAAGTTCAGTAGAATCTACAGCTGCAAGATATTTCAAAGGGATTGTGTATTTACCAAAAAGTAAAAAAGAAGGCTGAAAATCTGCTCTTTTATTTGTTTACATTTTTGACAGTTTATACTTTGTAATCGAATAATGAAATCAGATTTCATACACAGGTCTAATTTAATTATTCCAAAAGTTCTTTCCACATGCTTACCATTACTTCATAGAAAGCAGATGTTATAAACATCCTTTCTTTACATGAGATCAGTGGCTTTGAATAAAAATATCAGCCCATCCCTGAAACCAAACCCAGCTAGTCATACTGTCATTTTCTCTGTGATTCCCTCTCACATTTACAGACATGTGCAGATACTATGTGATTTTAATGCCAGCCTGACCCATTTTTATAGGAAGTGTTACATCTGTAACATACAGAACTACTCAACATAAATTATCATGTTTTCAGTAGAGAGATTAGTTGGTCATTTTAAACTCTCTTTTGTTGGGTGATTAACTATACCAAGTTACTTGTCATAAAAGAAGTGATCTTTCCAGTTAATGAAGAAGTTTCTCTTATTATTAACAGTGAATCCATCCACAGATTCCCTTTTAAATAAAAATGAGAGACACTTACCTTGCAAAGACAAGGTTCTGTGCACGGATCTTCATTAATGCTACCAATCAGGCTACAGTTACATCGCAGGCAGTTAGGGTAGCCCCGATATCCAAACGCACAACGATCACATTTTTCTCCTGCGTAACCTTCTCTGCATTGACACTGACCTGGCCATGTCCCTTGAAAACAAAAACAGATAAACAAACAAACAAATAAGAGCCGGCAGAAGGATGGATTCAAGATGTCTCAGCGTGTGCAAGGAATTTAACATTCCTTTTTTACTACGCTCCATGTTACATTCCACTCAGACACTTGGCATAATGTCAGCCTCATCATCCATTTTTCGTGTTTAGCACCAGATGCACAGAAACTCCACCAGGATGGATTATTTGACAGCTGTAATAGCATTCATGAAGAACGACGTTAGATCTCAATCCTTCAAATTGACATAGTCAAAGCCCTCCATCCCCGGAAAACATGGCATATATTCAAAGCCCTGAAGTATCTTAAAATGCCTATAAGTACGTCATGCCTCAACTCTTCCCTCCCTAACATTTACCTAACTGACAGGCACTGACAAGATGATATTCCCTCAGACCTCAGTGCCCAGAGACATTAGCCAGATTTCACATTCAGAGGAAAAGCGTTTCCCACTGGCTTACCGCGCTGCGTGTCAGAATGGTGCTCATCTTTAATGCAGTGAGGACTCAGAGACCCAAACGGGTCACAGCCGCACGGGTAGCAAGGGTGATCCTCATAGGGAGAAACCTACAAAGCAAACGTTCTCGGTCAAATTCTCAAGTCATTAACTGAGGAAAGTTGCATCTGTTTCTTGTCTGGGACCACTGGAACTGATACGAATGAAGACTGGAAAAGCTAGCAGGCAGTAACAGATCAAGGGGCTCAATCTGTTTAATTTTAGCAGACAGAAGATCAGGGGATCGCAGTCCAGAAAAAACTTAAATTGGCAAACAAATTTGGTTTTCAGAGCAGACAAAGGTATACTAACAGCTAATGGGCTGGAAGTTGAAGCCTGACACATTCAGCCTAAATACAACATTTTTAAGTGCAACAGCAATTAACCACTGTGATGGTTTGCCAAAGATTATGGAAGTCTTTAAGTCAAGAATGGATATTTTCTGCAAAGATGCCCTCTAGTTCAAAGAGGAAGGAAAGGAAGGAAATCCTTGGCCCTGCATTCAACAGGAGGACAGATTACCTAAGCATGAGGATTCATTCTGACTTTAATAATCTATATATCTTTGAACTATAAGGCAATCCAATTCATATGGCAAGGATTTTCTTTTCTTTTTTTTCTCAGGGAAATTTGAATTTTTTTTCTTCAGGCCTTTTCCGGGAAGCCTAAGACTTTCCTTGGAGCGCCTCAGATTTAAAGCAAATCAGTAATGACCTCCAGATACCTACTTATTGGCTACAAGCTGATAGAAGACTTTCTTTCAATGATTCTTACAGTAAGTGAATCACAGAATCTCACAATCAAGTTTACTTCTCTATTGGATAGGCTTTACCTGCCAGACTCACCCTTGCTCTCTGCACCTATTTATATTAGATTTCTAAAGCATAGGCTTTCCAAAGTATGCATGACCCTGCCAAAACAAGACCTTGTGGGGTAGAAATTTGGTTCAGTACGTCTCGTTACAGAAACCTCTACACATTGCAGGAAGTTCATATGTTTAACCCGTTTAGTCATATCTTAACAAATGTCTTTTACAGAGTTTAGGTCATGTTTCCAAAGAGTAAGACTTGTAGATAAACGGGAAGGTAGACAGGCTTAGAGAGAACATGTTCTACAATAATCATGACAATATGAAGAATCGTATTTGTTGCAATAGCTCAGACAAAGAGTCTGATCTTAGAACCCTGTAAGGGTCCTTTTTAGCACTGGTTGGAATGGGCTGGTATAGGATGGTATGCAATATTGGCATTTCTGAAGACATCAGACATGAATACTGGCACTTTTTAGAGCTTTATCCATAGGAGAAATAGCTTTCCTATCAGCATGTCTACATTTCCATACTAGGACTTCAAGTTTCCTCTCCAACTATTCTTTTGTCCTCCATCACTTTCTTTTAAAGCAATTAGACATGCCCTTCCATGCAATTCAAGAAACATTTTAAGTTTTTCCCTAAAAATTTTCCCTGCAAATATCCTCTACAGTTTTCAGTTTTTTTTTAACTGGTTAAAAAAAAAAATCTTTTATTTATATTTTTATACATATTTTTATATACATACATATATATATGTATATGTATGTATTAACATACAATGAACTGAAATACACATTTTATCATATCATGTTGTAATATGTTAGAATCAACAAAGCACTAGAATAACGTTCTCTAAATCTTACTTTGTGTGGTCTAAAATATCCATCAGCACACATTTCACAGTTGATACCAGTAGTATGTTGAGTACAGTTTAGACAGACGCCACCTCCTATATACTGGCCATGAATATTTATGCTCCTTTTCTGATCTGCAATACTCTGGTTGTAATAGCAATCTTCTGCTTTGTTATGACAGTTGCACTCTAAGAAGGAAGAGAAAAGAAATCCACTTTTTTTTTTCCATTTACATTGTAAAACAGTCCCTGTAATACTGAAATTTAACAAAGAGTAAAATGTAAGAAAAGCATATCAAACCATCTCAAAAGTGTGGTTTTTTCCCCTTAACTACGCTATATGCTTTTGCAGTCTCAATACACTGTATTCCTTAGCAGGTAAGCACATTTCAAAGCCACAGTCACCATTTTAATAGCATCAATTTCAGTACTATTCTGTAGATCACATTAAGACAATCCTGTCAGCAGAGAGATGTCAGTGTCAAATATCAGTAGCAATGTGCGTTACTACCAGTAGCTATTCTTACATTTTCTGTCCTCCGTATTACAGGAGAAAATCTACCTAATTCTTTTGTTATTTGTACATAGACAAAAGCCAGGGAAGTCACCAGTGCCAGTACACAAGCATAAAACTGATTTAGGTTAGAGGATAGTTGGGTCCAGACACTCGTAAACACCTACTTGCTAAAGAGTGGCATTAAAAGCTGTATTAAGAACACTACTTCTCCATTTGCAACTATAAATTTTATCTAATAGGCTCTTAATTGTCTGCAGCTTGTGCCAGGTATTAGCAACGCAAAGAGGAAAAATGCACTAACAAGCCCTAGCAACAAGCCGAGCTGTATCGAACTACTGGCACAACTTAAGTCAATGATATCAATCTGAAATGTAATTGGCCAGTAAGGAAGTTTCTTTCAAAACATTTGTGTTGCCAGAAGCATGTTGTTTTTCTCACGCAAAATTTATGATCAACGTAAGAGATCTGAATTTCAAATAGCTAACAAAATGACTGATGCAAGTCTGCTAGTTTTTCCTGGAGTATAATTAATTCCCAAGACTCTTTTGTCTGATCCGCCCTGAAAGTATCACTACATGACACCTCCACCAGCCATACAGTCATGTGAGATAGAATATTTAAAATGACCTAAATTACTGTGCTTATAAGTAGTCCCTCTGCCTTCACTTAATCTCATGAAAACAATTTAATTTTTTTTGGGAATAGGTATAGATCTGTACTAAAAGCAACCTCAAACAAGAACATAATAAGCCTTTTAAAATTACTTAAGCCTCTGTGCATACTTACTCTCACACTTGTTCCCAGCAGAAATGGTTCCTGGTCTCCATGGTTTCTGATGGTACCCAGGGCAGCACTTATTACAGCTCTCTCCACACGTGTTGTGTTCGCACTGGCACTGCAATTTCTATGAAAAAAATTAACTTTATTTAAATATTTTTATATGGGTCATTTGCTCAGTGTTCCCAAAAGTCTGCCTGATATCAAATTTACTCCAGAAAATGTTAGACCCACAAATACCCCGCAATTGGCATGAGACTGTCCAGTCATGCTATATTGACATGGGGGAGTAACCTTTCTAGAGTAGAAGGGACAAGTCTCCTGTGTTGCAAAACAGCTTGTTTCTTGTAGTGTCCCCCACTTTTTTTTAATTTAATGTCAGAAAAAAACTTCACTTCAAAAAAAGTAGTACTACCTGAGACCTAGATATGCTTAAGGAGAAAAGGACAAAATATAGCAAATCATTTGTATGCATCATGGGGTAAGATCTCTTTAACCCTCCTCTTTTTCATTCTCCTTAGGCAAAGAATTGTTTGGGTTTTTTTTTTTTAAATTAATTGGAAAATTTGTTCTGCGAAAAGAAACAAGTGAGATTAAAGAATACCTTTGTGATTTCATCCAGCGGGCAGCTTCGAGCATGGCCATAACAAATACACATGCCACCAACAGAGATGTCCTTTATTGAATAGTAGTACTACAAAAATCAAAGTGGAAAAAGGGATGAAGGAGAGATATTTTAATGTATTTACATATTTCCCACACACACTGGAAAACAGAGTACCAGCATTCCACTATTTTGTGGCTAGAAAAATCCAAGCAACTATTTCAAGCTTTGAATTTCTGCAATTTGAGGAATTCTTATCGTGTAAATTTTTGCATTTTTCCCCGGTACAAAAAACAGACCGATTTTTAACTTTAAATAAGTATACACAACTCCTAAGCTTCAGAGAAGACTACCATATGTGACCTAAGTCCGAATTTGCTTGCAAAAAAGCCCCTTTTTTACCCTATAAGAAGCCATGAAGCATAACACATTGTTATATTTGAATTTTAGCTTGGGGAGGAAGAGCATGCTTTCCTAAAATGGGAACTCTGCTCTCCCTTAAATCCAGTTTGTGCATTTCCTTCCAGATGAACTCTTTGCTCCTAGTGAGATGTAGTATATTAGTCTACCCACATATTTAGCTTTCAGAAATGGTAATACAGCAGAGGAGAATAAATTAATATCGCCAGGTGGTGAGCAAAAGCAACATACATAAGGAAAGGATTTAACTTTCAAGGCAAGGAAGAGGCAGGAAATGACCCATCTGGGTTCAGTTACAGCTGCAGTATCAACAGGGTTGGCCTGTTTGTATCCTGGAAGTATGTGCTACAGGGGAAATGAAAAAGAAATACTTTTTGAGGACACTTCTAAGAAAATAGTTCAAGACTCTCAGACCTAACAACCCTAGAGTCGTCCGGTTCACGAAGAGGAGGTAGCCCTGGGTGGTCAGACCTGCTGACTCATGGACTGTTATTGCTTTGAAGGAGCCGGGAGCTGGAGCAAACTAGCCTCTTTGATTCCCTATTCAACTTTGTATGCGTCTATATTTTTATTATGTTTTACTTTTTTAGTATTTGATTTTATTGTTATGGATTTGGATTGCAAAAAACGCTGAACATTAAATCCTTAACTACAGAAAAGGAAGTCCAGGCTGAGAAAACTAAGAGTAGAGAGCTGTATTTGTTAGTACTGGGGAAGCTCACCGCGTTCCCTCCTTCACTTCCTTTCTCCTGTCCTCTTCAAACTCACTGCGTGCTCTTCAAACTCAAGCCACGTGCAGCTTGAAGTCGAACAAGAGACCAATGCTAATCAAATGCCACCGAAATTAAATAACCCTGTTGTCGAACACTTAGAAAAGTTCTGCATCAGCCCTTTCAGAAGACTATGCACAAGAAACTAATACAATCAGTATCAACAGCTGGAGTAAAAGGGTTCAAGAACATCAAATATGGAATCCAGAGAGCTGGCAGTGATTACCTTGGTTGTAGTTAGCTGCACAATAGATGAGACAAAGTGAGACATCAGGATTTGTGAACCGAGCCCAACAAAACCCACTTCTTGTGAACATGAAGATATGTAGCTATTCATACAAAGTATGCAGTTCCCCAAAGCAGTGCTAAGTAGGGTAGCACTAAGCCCCGGGCTGCACAACTGTGTGGCTTAGGAAAGCAGCGGGAAGCAACAGGTGCCCTCATCACCCTGTTATTTCTTAGGTAAGCTGTGCATTTGTATGCTTCCACATCCAGCCTTTCCTTTTGGGTGCCTTTCTTGATATAATATTAATCACAAACAAATATTCACCAGCCTGCTCCACGGGATCATCTCAGCAGCTCAACTTGTGGATTAACAGTTTCTTTCAGGCCAGCAAGGCACAGCTGGAGCTGCTGTCCAGTCCTTTGTGCTTGCAGTCCCCTGGCTAGGGGAAATCCCCTGTGGAGCCAAAGGAACAAGCAGAACATCCAGGTCTCGCACTTCAGGGATGCTCCAGCTGAAGGAGCACCTCCCTGATCAAGGTGAGAGTGGGGATGCCTTGAAACTACTTGTGATGCTCTCACCCACCAAAACCTGGCCAGACCAGTCTTTTCTCCCTTCTCTGCCCAGCTGCTTGACCAGACCTCATCGCACCACACACTAGTGCTCTCCTCCTCAACATGCTGGCCAACTGCTCCACACACAAGAGTTTGGTGAGAAGCAGTGTAACTGGAAAAGCACTGTGTGTACAAGAGAAGCCACAAATTTAAGAGTCCTGTTGTGCAACCGGGGGACATGGATCCCTGCTTAGCTAGTTGCTTGTAGATGCTCTTTAAGACAGGTAGCTCACAAGGGAGGAGAAGAGGAAACACCTTTCATATTCTTCCGTTCTCTTCAGGAAGCCCAAATTATATAGAAATTCAAAGATGCAAAAGTCACTTTCGTACATGAAAATACTGATATGCTAACCTATGGATCTCAGGCAAATTAAACAGACGGACAAAAGGGCAAAATACAAAGCAGGCATATTGCACAAAATTAAACATAGCAGGCAGTGTGGTTAGAAGCTCTGATACTGAATTTCTGTGAGAACTTGAACAAGTCAGCTTAAGTGCTTGGTGCCTCAGTTTCCCCAGTTTCAGTATTAAATGTGTAAAGTTAATACTCTGAAAATTCAGTCTGACTGTTTTGTATCATTATTAATTCATGGGCTTAAATACAATTTGATTCAAACAGCCTTAAAAAAGAAAATTTCTCAGACATCAACATTCACAATGGCAAGGTTTTCAAATAACTCCTTATGAATCAGAGCACTGGGAATTCAAATTCTTAATACACCAGAAAATGTACTGCACAATTGCATCAAGAGCACCCCCAGGTGACATTTTTATCAGCAAAATCATATTTTTTTTTTGCTGATGAAGCATTAGAAAAGCTGTTCCCAGCTTAAGTCATCCAAACATGTAAAACAAAAAGCAAACAAAAGAACTTCTAAAAATATTTTTTCAAAGTTTTCTGTGCCAAGGTACATTGTTAATAACAGCAGGAAGGCAAGAATTGGTTAATAACCTTTAAAAATAACTCAGTTTTTGAATGGAAAGGATCAAGTACTTCTTCAAATAGACCAAAGTAGGCTTTTCCATCCAGTGGTACTGAATAGCATTTCTGAACAATCAGCTTACCCTTCTGGTAACAATGGGATCTAGTTCTTTAGGATCGTGATGGCTCAGAGTCATAAGGTCAGCGTTTAGGGTTCTGATACGCTGCAGTCGTAAGCGGATGTACCGTGCAGAAGTAAACTCCAAAAGTTTTTGTGAAGGATCATCAGCGCTAGGCCTACCATTGATCAGCGACGTGTGAATCTAGAAAGAAAGCCTGTCTTAAATATAAACATAATTGTGATCCATTTACAACAAACACCTTAGTATGAGAATTAAAAACAGAACTTAAAAGATTGTTTTCCAGCATCTCAGGATGGTGAGGTGTCAAATTAACTGGATTTTTTGTTTCTTCCCCAGCTCATACCTGGCAGGTAAAATGACTCATGCAGTTCTGAAACCACCACTCTTGGTTTAGAGTGTCCAGCGTCTCCAGGACTTTTGTAGAGATAGCATAAAGAGAAGAAAGGTACCACAGACTAGTCCTCAGTTCCTCCGGTCTTCTAAATTGAGATGGAACGGGTACCTCTGACCGTAAACACAGCTTTGCCCTTATAGATTGTCTCCTACGCAATCCAATCTGTAAAGACCCTACTGCAAAATGTAATACTGCACACATGCTCAGTCTGGGAGAATTAATGAGATGATCCTATGCCCTGCTGCGATCATTACCAATCAATAAGGAATATTCAGTGTTAAGGTAGTGCAATGGGAAGCCTCAACAAAGATGGCAAGAGAAAGCAGGTGGCTGCCACCTCCATCTTACTATCTCAGCCCTCCCAAGTGGGCCTCAGTAAGGGGGCTTCTGGTACTGAGCTGCACAACTTACTCTAGCAACAGCCCCTCATAGCTGCCTTCTTTCCAATGCAACTGAGGAACACTCACGTCACCACTGATTTTGGGCTCAAAGTGATGTTTTAGAGTGTATTTATGCATTGACGCAGAGTAATTTTGTCTCCCCTTGAATTTAATTTTTTGTATTCCCCTTGAATTTAAAGTTTAAGCTTTCTCTGCTACTGTCAAAATCTTTCCACTGAAAATATTTCTAAAGTTTTTGTAACTTTTTAAAAATATTACTTTTGTAATATTTTACAGAAGGTAGGGACTTTCTAAACAGTAATTGTGTTATTTCAAAGGTATACAAACAGACACTGGAAAAGGAGTTCACAGTTCCAACATTGTAACTCTGGCATTAATGGACTATCGCAGTTCATTTCAATGATTCATCACGAGCCCTGACTGCATTACAAAAATTTCTGGAAGCAGATCTTCAAGCACTGTACATGAGATTAACATCAGTGCTTACAGCTGTAAGTGCTCTTTAAATAGTAGGAGCAATATTTCTTTAAACCTGCTAAAAATCTAGCGGCCAAATTGGCAAAATGTCAGGAGTTTTCTGATTTGGCACAAAACATTGTTAGTAAGTTGCATCCCCATTTAGAAATGAGGCCCTTTTACCCTCCTGGTTCTTCCACAGCAGGGCAGCTCCAAGCTGACTGCAGAACACTGGGATGTTGCACTGCAGCGATGAACGCTGGGTATAGGCAGGTGCTCGTAGAGATCAGCTGGTGTGCACAACTTCCTATAACCCCTACACTGAAGTCTAATAGGTTGGCCAGAACCAGTTAGGAAGCAGTTGAAATATATTTTCAAAATGGGTAAGATTCACTAAGACCAGTTGGGGGTTCTCCGTGCTGGGAATATCCCCGTCTGCCATTACAGCTATGAAGGAGCAGCTGGTCCTCTGTGGTACGGAGCTCTTGTGTGGTACAGAGCAATTTAATCATGTTTTTACTACAGTCAGATGAAACAATGTTCCAGGTAGTGCTGCTGACTATACGTGAATCACTCAATTCAGGGTACATCAGGAAAAATAAATGAGAACAACATATCACTAATCTGAATCTCTGGTATTCCTGGGCTCAGAGTTGGACTGCCTGTCAGGCATTTATTGCAAGAGGTACTGCTTGCACAGCTACCCTAAGGGCTTTCTGGTTAATTGTGGTGAGAGCCAGGTTAGGTTTCTTTTATCTGTTCCATCTGATCTGTACGGCATATGCTTAGCATCACTGCAACAAATATGTCATTAAAATAAATGAGACTTGACGTCATCTAAATTTAATTCATTTTCGCCTGCTGAAACACAGTTTGGAGTTCATGTGAAAAAAGAAAAAAAGAAGTTTGACATGCTTCAGCTGTTAGCTATGTACACTCCAATCCTTTTTTGACCAATAAACAAAAACATATTGGCTTCTATTAAATTAAAAGTTGCTAGCATTCTCCATTGGATAACACTGCATTTTATTACCACATAAGAAGAGCATTCACAATAGAATAACCACTGGTTTTAATGCATCATTTCATTATGTGGCTGCCTCTATGAAATAAATTAGACAAGTACCATGAATGGAGTTCGTCAGAAGAAAGAACAATCAACAGTGAGGCTGCACAACTCATAGCTCTTTTAATTATGCTACATCCCTGAAACAATGCCAAAGCTTGTTTAGGAGCTCCAGCTGTGCAGAGCACTTCAACTGTGTTTGCAGCTTTATCTCACACAACCAGGTGTTCCTAACACAGAGATTTTCTTTATTAAATGAAAAACCTGGCAGAACATAGAGTCTCTGTTATAATCTTTCAGGGCAGAGTAACTAATAATTCACAGTTAATAGCCACCATCAAATTATGTGGAGAGAGAGAACAAACAGGAGTTTAGTAACAGGAATATGTAGAGCCAAAGAAATGTTTTATCCCACCATTTAAAAGTTTACTATACTGGTATATGATATAAAGGTACTCTCATTAAAGGAGAGTAACAGACCCTCTGTCAGAGCTGAAGGTGATGAACTGGATAACCATAATTCAGATGTTTTAAAGTTGCAATCAGTCCATGTTCATACTCACAGACTGCAAGTGCGAAAGCAAACATACCTCTCCATGTTCCAGGGGAACTAGTCTGGAATAGTAGGAGGTGCAGATCACTTCATCGTCTCTCTTGTACGTAGGAGGCCCAATTCTTGGGGTAATATTATAACGAGTTAAACATTCTGTGTCGCTAATTGCATAGTACTGCCATGGTCTGAACTCTGTGCCATCGATGGAGCGTTCCAAAATCCAGTTTCCAGGTCGTGGAGCATTAGCAGCTTTGATGATGACATAGGCAACTTGAAAGACCTTGGGGCGGAAAGCAAAAAGAAAATTTTAACACTTCATTCTGCTGTACAAAAGGCCAGTTCGGTACTAAAATTAAATAAAATTTTAAGAGAGAGTAAAATTTGGCAGAATGACTCTGAATAAAATTTTCACAAACCTTTGATAACAGCTCAGTCTAATCTTTTACGATACTAACAAAAATACTGATCACTTTTGCCAAAACTTTTAACATTACAACAAAATATTTGTTTATGTGACTAAAATCCCTAAATATATTCAGCTTATCTTTCTGTGATAAGGCAATAGCTGAAATGTACATAGACTGTAGATTTCAGGATTAGCTGGATATAACATTCTTTTCATGGGAAAAGTGCTATTTAGTTTTTTTGAACTGCTGAGGGCTTCAAAGAGGTGATTTTTTTTCAGAACAGCTGCAGCCCAAACAACTCTTTGTTTCACATTTTAGCTGGGAGTTTAATCCTCTCAGTAATAGCATTTCTGATAAGCTTTTTACACCCTACATTAAGAATCTCTTTCTGTGCATTCCATTTGCATTCTGTTAAAGTCACTTAAGCAAAGGCCTATTTACAGCATCTGCTGAAAAAGCACAGAGACAAATAAGATGTGTGTAACAAATACACCTGTGATAACCTTATTTAGAAACAGTAGGTGTTTTAAGATGTGCAGTTTCTCAGCTAGATTGATAGCTTGAAAATTTTCCTACAATTGCTAGACCAAAGTACATCCATACAACAGCACTGTTCAGTACCTCTGTGAGTAAGCAGAACAGTAATTAGTTTTATATCATCTTTTAAGTGAGCCTCTCATGGGAGCTAGATAACCTGCACTGGCCCCCAAACGGCTATAGCATCAGCCACTGACACCGAAGTGCGCTTACTCCAAAGCTACTGTCTTCTTCCTTACCCAATACCTACTATGTCACCTCACTTAAAACTGGCTGTCTTTGCAAATTGTAAGACTCCTTATATGAGTTCAATGTTTTACATGCACCACGTTATCCAGCCACATTTAGACGAAAGAAAAATGCCATGTTATTCAGCCATCTCAGAGATGTATATTCTCACTTGAGTATACTGCCTGGTTGGCTGGTGTAGTTATAATAATTTCTGTCTGCGTGTGCATTATTAACACCGGGTTCAGCTCCAATTTCACCATAATCATTTCTTTCAGATGTTTTTAAATATAGATCTATTTCTTTTTTGCAATACAGATGGAAGCCAGAGCCAGAATAGCACTTGCCATCTAAAAGCCAAATAAGGAAATAAACACATAGAGAAAAATAGTGATTGCATTGTGTGTGCAATTCAGGAAGCTACTTTGAAAAAAAAAAAAAATCCTTTAAGTGAACAGAGCTTTGCTTAGGAGATTCGCAGACATGAGAGGGAAAATGTTTTGGCGATACCTATCTTCAAATTTTAACTCATTAGATGTAACATACTAAAAAAAAAAGTCAAATAAACTCAGTTTTGATTAAAATTCAGACATAACTGACAACTTGATATTCACTTGGTCTGATTGTCTTTTCAGGCACTCCAATTGTATCCTTTGAACCGGACATCAAGCATCAAGAAGTATTTCCAGTTGTTCCAATAAATACGAAAATCCTCCACAAACCGAGGATTTTGTCTACTGACTTCTGTGGCATTTCAGCAATACAAAGCAGACATAAGCAAAGAGAAGCCAGCTTCTCTGACTGTTTAGTCACAGCATCACATGCAGTCTTAGAAATACAATTTCTACAGGGTTTGCAAATTCTGTCTTATAGCACAATCTCAAAATTTGATCAAAGTTAAGTGAATACAAAGAACTATAATTTAGCTTCCATGCAGGGAAGAGTACCTTTAAATAAAACTTATGTGATACCAACAAGCTCCAGCTGAGAAAACATTCATAGATATGCTTTTAAAGTGAAAAGAATGGAATTCAGGCAAACTGAGTCAAGCAACTATAATTCCCTAATAATTCCTCACCTGGATCTCATTAATTCTGTTGGCAGTAGCTGACAAATATACCTGTTTTACCTGTTTTGCACAAGCAGAATTTTGGGTGTCATCATTTCAATATCCCTAAGCTGAAGCCAGGAAAAGCTGATTATTTGTATGTGCATTTTCTTCATCACACAGAAGAAAACTGCAGAAAGCTACTAAAAATCAGAAAGTTTTATTGACTGCGCCTAGGAATTGCCATGCACTTAAAAGTTCCTTTGAAGTTAATCATCTCTTTCAAAGGCACAAAAGATGCAAGACTAGAACAACAATTTTTTTTCAGTGTCATGGTATAAAGTTTTCCTCAAAGCCTCTTTATACCTCTTTTATTTATTTTTCTTCTCTGTTTGCTATCAACTAAAATGCTTCCATGCTTATTACACAGTCGGCTGAACAACAAACGATCCACTTTTGATTACATGGAGATTTTTCAAGACCCATTATAGTCTGCAGCTGATGTAGCCTGTTTTCAATCCAGTTTCAACTAGTAACAATGAGTTATCCCTCATCACAAACTATAACTGCAGCCAATTCTACAGAAATAAAAGTAAATAATATTCACAAGAGTATAAAGGTTAAATTTAGTTTTTTTGGAATTAGAGAGAAGTGATGGGGAAAGTCAACTACAGAAAAAGATTTTCATAGCAGTCGTGCATGTATCCTACTTCATTTTATCATCACATCATTTAAAGTCAATTTTTTTCTAGAAGTATAGCAACCATGTTTAGTACTCATTTAAGGACTGATTTTTTCCTGCATATCTACAGTTCACCAACAGCTGAAAGGAAGATATTTGAAGCTGAGAACCCAAAAGAGGTATCCAAAATCAACTAACAGTTCTGCAAACATGGAAGTATATGCTGTAGGCCTGCATAGAAAAGTGTTGTCGTCTTTTTCTCTTGGATCCTCTGGAATCTCTTCCATTTACACACGTAGCCCATAAGTATCTAAATATACTTCATAAGTAAATTCACAGGATACCGAATATCAGCAACATCAGGAAAATTTGTCAGCCCTTGAAACCATGTAGGTTAAAAACATGAATTAAAGAATTTTCTATAAATGCTCCTGCCCCTAAGTTGTCACAGGACAACCAGGCAGCAGGAACTGTGTTCTCAGCGGTTGCTTTTCCAAGCAAGGGGATGAAGCAGGAGGCAGGGATATAGGTGTCCCCAGTGGCTGCATATTCTGAAGTTTTAAGGAAGGTCAACAGGTAGACGTTTGGGAGACCTTACATCCCAGAGCCTCTGCAACCTGCAAGGCATCTGAACCAGCAACTGTGCGTACTGCAAAATGATTTTCCAACGTTCTTGGAGCGCTTCCTTAAAGATTACTTTTTTGAGTTCTCCAGGATTGAACAGCACTGAAGACTGTTTCCTACCACTCTCCACTTCCATTCACTGGCCACCAACTGGCCACCTGATAAACTTGAGCTGTGTGGCATGAGCTAATGACATGTACATTTTAATCTGACTGTGTAGCTTTCCCAGAACTAATTTCCTTGTTGAGCTACAAGGGTAAAGAGGGCAAGCCAAAGCAAGTTAGCAATTCCCAAGCAGCCATAGATTAGAAAGTGTCATTTTACAGGCATTTCAGTCCTGACTGTAAAGAGCAGCCAAATAAACTTGTACCAAAGAACACCACCTCTGTAGCAGCAATACCAAGGTAACATCATTTACTTCTGCTTTATTTTAGCCTTTCTCCTAACAATCTTATTTCCCTGAATGCAGATCCAGCACCACCAAGCGCATTATGCTTGAAATAGATTTATAAACAAACCCTTCTCCCCATTCCTCAGGCAATTTTGCATACCATGTTGCTCAAGACTGTAAACCCAGTCAGTAGTGGCCATGCAGCAGATGCTAGCCAAACATCCCTACTTCCAGGGGCACGGTCAATGCTCTAAAACCCACACCAATACATGCCCTGGCAAGCACAATCTTCCTTGGAGTCCTTTTAGATGGAGACTCTCAGTTATATTTTCCAGTTTACATAATGGAGACAACCGTAACAGAAGATTCTGTCTTTTCATAACTAAAGCTATATGAGCCCCAGTCTCCAAAAGTGAAAAGTTACAGCGAAAGATGAGTCCCAGATTAACTTTCCTAAATTTCAGAAATGTTTAACCTACTATGAACAGAGGGACTAACTGCTAGTTCAAATCTACATCCTGATTCAAATCCGAACTCCACCAGACCTTGAAAAAAACTAAAATGAAGATATAATTTCAGGATGTCAGGATCTCATCCAGTGTTCTACTGCATACCTTGCTGAAACCACACTAGCATAATGTAAACCATATAATGCAGAAGGCTGCTAAATGAACAAGCCTGGAAGAATGCAAGGCTCTTGGCAGACTGGTTTCTTCAAGTTTTATATATTCAGCTAAATCTTTTCCTTCAGGGTTAGTGTAAAAAGGCAATCTAAAAAACAGAAATATTTTTCAAAATGGCTTGACAAGGCTTGTGGTATAAAATCCATTCTGCTCAGTGGTGTCAGCACATCTATACCTGGTTGCCAGGAAAGATTCCTTCTCTGAGATTTCATTTTACTGGCAGAAAAGGCTAAAGTGAATCTACACAAATGTTCAGAAAGTAGGAGCCTACAGGATATATATTTATATAATATATATATTCTGAGTATCCTGCTCATAGAACTGTCTTTTAAAGGAATTAATTTTGCTTCATGCTCTTATTACAGACTGTGAGGTCTAGCAATTGTTTGCTATGTTTTCCTCCAAGGAAAGAGCACATGTTAGAGCACATACTAGTCTATATCCAGCAGGATCTCTAATCTCCTGAATCATCTTTTCTGTATGATCTTGATTCATTATGTGCAATAATTTCTTTGGAATAGAGGATAAGTCCATTTTACTCAAGAAGTGTTTTACAAGAATGTAAGGATGAGCACCTTGAATCTTGCGTCATCAGTTTTAAAGCAACAAAAGGCTTTAAGGAAACTTATCAGGCAGCATAAACTGGCATTGGTCCAGTGAAGTCAACCAAACAGTATCTTTTTACATCAGATAAGGATTTGTCCTTACAGAAATCTCTTCTTGCCAAGTGATTTCAAGATGAAAGCTCTGTACAAATTGTAAATATTTTTACCACTATATTTGACTTTCTGATAGCAGAAACTACAAATTAATCTTACATCAGCCTCTGAGTAGTAATCTAACATTCATGAAATATTCATGAGCTATGAATTAGTTAGAACTGGAGAGTCTTTTACAACTTGATATTTGGGGCCTTCTAAGAACAACTGATCTCGCTTTCCAGTTCAAAAACTTTGTGATGTACAAACTTCTGTCTTTCTGCTATACCTAGCACAAAGCACCCATAAATACCTTTGAAAGCCTTGAGCACAGTAGTAATACTGAGGAAAGCATTCTCCATTTAATGGTGTGACAGAGAAAGGTTTTACAGGAGAACCAAGCACACTATTGACATTTATAATAATCAGTTTTTAAATTCATTACCATTTTGCAAAGTAACTGGACAGAGAACTCATACTCAGGCATAAATGCTGTTTCTGTCTTAAACCACTGCTGTGCATTTTGTCTCCATAGAACTGCCAGCATAGGAAACAAAAGGTCATAAATCAAATCTTGATATATCAATACTTGTATATCAATAATACACCTCATTGCTGAACTCCTCTTTCCTCAGCTCTGGATCTTTGCCATACATTTAATGAAAAAAAAAAAGAAAAAAGAAAAAGATTATCATGCATCCAGGCCTGGGAAGAGTGAAAGACAAGGCAGAATACATGTACCTAGTTTTTACAATCCATGTGAGCTACAAAATTGTGATGTACCCACACAAAATGCTTACCATTTGTTATAAACAGCACACAGATTCCAAAGGAGAAAGATCTAAAGAGCAATGTAGACCCTGATTTTATTAGCCAGCTCTCTTTTCTTAACTAGACTCCATCAAGCTGCTCTTCCGTGCATCTGTTTTTAGACTAAATAAACTAAGTGCAAGGTAGAATGTTAGCTGAAAGAATATTCTCTGTCCCTGCAACTTCAAGCCAAGAGACAAACACAGCCAATGGACACAGACTGCTGCCAGAGCATTGCCTAGAGTAAACTGAAGTGAAGAGTTTTCATCAGCTTCCCAGCGTTCACCAGCCGAAGCTACCTGCCAGCACTCGCCAGCCCCTGACTGCTGGAGTACGTCTCTGTGCTGTGCATGCTGCACAGTGGCAACAATCCCAAGAAGTGATTCATTCTTCCTATTGTTATAACTGTCAGTAATATAATGATCAGACGGTCATTCTTCACATCACAAAAGGGTGCGCATGCATTCTGTCGAGGAAAACTAGCGGCCGTATTCACTTTAACACATAGATTTAACGCACAAAGCTTGGAATTTTAAAAAAATAATCAATGCAACATATACAGCAATTTATACAGTTAGTTACTGATTTTCAGCAATACTTCTAAAAGCTCCACTAAAATGGGAAATGTAAAATACTCTACAAGAGTATCTTAGTTCAAAGGAAATTTTTAAAGTAAACAGTTACTAAAATCACTAAAGTCCTTCATGTACATGTATCCTTTGTTACTCTTTACTTGCACTGACTCACTAAAAGTTAGTACACCCAGCCAACTCTAATAACTCATTGACTCCAAGCAATCTTATTAACCAAATCCTGCCTCTCAGAGCAGCAATTTACATTCAAGTTGCATAGTCCTACATGCCTTCTGTCTCTCAAACTTTCTAAGGAAAATACAGAAGAAAGGCCCCTTGGGGGAAACTTTTCAAACCAAATTAGTGAAACTGAGCATGGGTCAGGAGAGGAAAGATATGTATTCAGGGAAACATCAACAGTGCTAAGTCCGGAGAATAAAAATTTAGAGGGCAGCCAGTTGGTCTGCTTCCAAAGTAAAAATCTTCTAGGAGGGTAAAAAGAAGGCATTCCCCGCTCCCTCATTCTTCCTTCCTGTTTGTCCAAACCAAACACAAAGTGAACTATTCAAACAACAAGAAAGTCCTACCCAAACCTTCTGTTGCTGACAAAAGGCACCCTATGATTATTTTCCCAACGTTTCTCCTTTCTAATTAAAGAGCAAACAGAGCATTCATTTAACTATGCTTCATTAAAAAAAAAAAAGTTAAACCTTCTGTGTTAACCTCTAAAATAACTTCCACTTCGAGTCTAGAGCTTACCAACTGTACGTCTCAAGTATGCATTTCCTGGCCAGTAATACAGCTTCTCCAAGATTTAGAAGCATCCTCATATTAATAATCCCTACCATTTTCAAGCTGTGACCTTCAAACAGCTCACACAGGCCAAGGCATGTATCTCTTCAAAGCAAAACAACAAGAAAAAGTAAACAAGCATGTGGGATTTGGAAACAATTTTGTCTCTTCTCGGAACGAAAGGGTAAGAGACTTCCACATCTCCCATGCCCGACTAACAAACTAGCCAATTAGCAAATGGTCTGTGCAGCTTAGCAGCCTCCTCCCCGAGAATATTATCAGTGACAAGGACGGAAAAATCCTTCCAACTGTAATATGCCAAAGCAGAGGAACCACCTTCTCTCCCGATAGTGCCAGCCTCCCCAGGCTCAAAATCTCTGCTTAGCGATACGATCCCTAACTCGTCAGGACAACTCAGCGCAAAAGTCCACAAAAGAAATAACCCAGACTGTTTCTCCCGAGCGCTTCTTCCAGCAAAATGATTATCAGGGCCAGTCAGAAGAGGAGCAAGAAAAGTAGCAAATAACATTTTCTTTCACCAACATTAATTCTGCCCCATTTAAGTGTGTTTTGTTTTCTAGGCCTGATCGTATCCTTGAGCTGACAGGAGAGTCTGTGTGTTTCATGAGTTCTGGAGACCCTGCAATTGAACTTTCTGACGTTTTAGGCTTGAGTCTGACCACTGCATTGCATTAACAAGTTTAGATATTTAATGTAAATATGCAAAAATACTGAGAAAAATATGTAATTTGAACAGAAGAGTTTAACTTGAGATCTACTGTGAGAAAATTGATGTAAAAACAGTAGTCCCCCTGGTCACTTGCTTTAATTCCCTCCTCCAAAGCTCAGTATCTGAGTTACAATGTAACCATGGATCAAAAGAGTTCATATTTGGAAATATATTGTGTTCTGCTTTCTTACAGTAATGACAAACAGTTCTACTATATCCTACTCCAAACCATTTACTCTCTTTTATTAAGAAGCTGTACAGTTAGTGGCAGGCTGAGAGTTACGGTTAATAAACAGAAACAGATGTATCCTGACACATGATATCTCCACCTATGACAACTATATCCTGAAAAAACTGTTTCCTGCCTGAAAATAAGTCTTTGATACTCTAGACCTTCAAGCAACTTGCCTGCAATCAAAGGCAGAGGGGAAAAAAAAAATCAGAGATTTACTGGGGGAAAGACAGCAGGGTCAGACAGGAGGAGGTTATGAGGACAGAGGGAATGCTGTTGTAAACTCTCTCATCCATATACGCCCAACCATTGCAGTCTCATGAATCAGAAAAAACTGTGCTCCATTTGCTTGAAAACATGGTCACTCCCATCTCCATCTCATAAGAATAACATTTCCAAGGTGCTCCTGAATAAATGATTGAAGAATACATTTATTTAAAATCATCGCTTCATATTAGCTTTAACTATCTGGCTCATATGTGTTACTGAATGACTAACTGCTAAATATCCTACAGTCTGAAAACTCACAGAGAATTGCAGCCAGCTGCATGAGCTTATGTCCTACATAAAAATAAGTGATACAGTTCTCAATGCTACTCACCTGCCTGAGATCCAAGGTGATGGTGACCCAGTGGTACTGCCTCCCGTTCTGAATGCTGGGACTTTGCCACCAATTATTGGTACCATCAATCGCACTAGAAATTGGGTGCTGCTCTGTTTTAAAGCAAAACCATAAAAATCTCTTAAAAATATAACTCAGTGTATTTTCTCCGATACGGTACATTTATTCCATGCTGAGTACAATTATTTTCTCTCAAAGAAGTAAAAATTGAAAATCGCCTCCGGACAGGGTGACATTAGACCCTGAAGTACTTCAGGGTGATTTAAGGTATTCATACGCTCTGTTGGCCCTTTGCTCAAAGACAGTTTCACTCACGCAATAAAAAGACTAAAAAGACTAAAAAGACTAAGTATTTGACCCAATACACCCTGCATTCACAGGAAGGGTCAAAAAGAACCACACAAAGCAATTTAAAAAAAAAAAAAAAAGGAGCTTGCCTTTGGGATTAGCACTGTTGCGGTCACAGACACGGCACTGGGCGTTGCGCAGAGGCCGTCCTGGGACATGCTCCACCAACTTGCAGAACATCTCCGGCCCCTGTTCCCCGCAGGTGGCGTTGGTGGAGATATGGGCGTTGCTGGCCAGGTTGAGGATGGCAGGGAATAGACCTTTAGATAAGGAAGTCAACATTGTCAGTCTTTCTCACAGTGAGGCAAGCAAAAAATAATCATGGTTCTGAGACACATCTCTCACGTTCCTCATAGAAACCCTGGATGTTTAAAACAATCTTTTTTTCATCATACTTGTATCTCATAGAAACAAATACGATGAAAAAAAGATTGTTTTATGAAAAAAATTATCATACCATACTGACTCCCACCATA